CACAACCTCCCTGCGCAACCCATTCCAGTGCCTCACCACCCTAACAGGAAAGAATTTCCTCCTTATATCCAATCTAAACTTCCCCTGTTTAAGTTTTAACGCGTTACCCCTTGTCCTATCACTACAGTCCCTAATGAAGAGTCCATCCCCAGCATCCCTATAGGCCCCCTTCAGATACTGGAAGGCTGCTATGAGGTCTCCACGCAGCCTTCTCTTCTCCAGGCTGAAGAGCCCCAACTTTCTCAGACTGTCTTCATACGGGAGGTGCTCCAGTCCCCTGATCATTCTCGTTGCACTCCTCTGGACTTGTTCCAACAGTTCCATGTCCTTTTTATGTTGAGGACACCAGAACTGCACACAGTACTCCAAGTGAGGTCTCACAAGAGCAGAATAAAGGGGCAGGATCACCTCCTTCGACCTGCTGGTCACACTCCTTTTGATGCAGCCCAGGATACGGTTGGCTTTCTGGGCTGTGAGCGCGCACTGCCGGCTCATGTTCATTTTCTCATTGACCAGCACCCCCAAGTCCTTCTCTGCAGGACTGCTCTGAATCTATTCTCTGCCCAGCCTGTAGCTGTGCCTGATATTGCTCCGACCCAGGTGTAGGACCTTGCGCTTGTCATGGTTAAACTTCATGAGGCTGGCATCAGCCCACCTCACAAGCGTGTCAAGGTCCCTCTGGATGGCATTCCTTCCCTCCAGGGTATCAACCGAACCACACAGCTTGGTGTCATTGGCAAACTTGCCGAGGGCGCACTCAATCCCACTGTCCATGTCAGCGACGAAGATGTTAAACAAGACCGGTCCCAACACTGATCCCTGAGGGATTCCACTCGTTACTGGTCTCCAGCTGGACATTGAGCCATTGACCACAACTCTTTGTGTGTGGCCATCCAGCCAGTTCTTTATCCACCAAGTGGTCCATTCATCAAATTGATGTCTCTCCAGTTTAGAGACAAGGATGCCATGTGGGACAGTGTCGAACACTTTGCACAAATCCAGGTAGATGACATCTACTGCTCTACTGCTGTCCATCAGTTCTGTAGCCCCATCGTAGAAGGCCACCAAATTGGTCAGGCAGGATTTCCCCTCAGTGAAGCCATGCTGGCTGTCACCCAGCACCTTGTTGTTTTTCATGTGCCTTAGCATGCCTTCCAGGAGAATCTGCTCCAAGATTTTGCCAGGCACAGAGGTGAGACTGAGTGGTCTGTAATTCCCCGGGTCATCCATTTTCCCCTTCTTGAAAATGGATGGAGGCATGATGCGAACAGCCTGTCTGCTCTTTAAAAAAACCCAGTATTAACTGTCAAAGCACACTGGCATAACAGGTCAACTCTGCATGGGCTAAGAACTGAGCTAGGGCTATACCATACTTGACACCAAAAAGAGAACCCAAGTTGTTCACCCAGTCAGCTCTCTGATATCAGTCTCTGCCTTCCCTGCTTGCAGGCAGGAGGAAACAGCCTTTCTGTATCAAAGAGAATCATTTGACACCAAGTCACAAAGCAACAAGCAAACAGCAGTGCTTTTTGCCAGTCCAGAAGCACAGACTGAGAATTATGGCAGCATGCAGGTTCTCTTCTAGAGCACAGCTGCAAACACAAAAACCAGGTATTATAGCTGAGACCACACCATGCTGAGCAGAAAGAAGAGACAGTTACGCCTGTTTTGCTTTCTGAATACTGTTTACACCCCAGCATGTTATTTGCTTTTTCACAATAGGACAAGTTTGTTGACTCATGTTTAGCTTGTGACCCAGTATAAACACCAGCAGTTTCTGCTGTCAGAACAGACAGCATCTGCTGCTGTCTACAGAGCTGGTTTTTTTTCTCCTAAATACAGAAACTTGCATTTATCTGCACTGCATGGCATCCTAGTTTTTCCATTACCATTTTTGCATATGTCAAGGTTTGAATTCCAGCCATACCTCTCTTCAATACCCTACAGATTCCTCAAATCTGTAATAGTTTGTTAATAAATATATTAAAATTACATTTTCTGTTCACCACCCAAGACTGAAAGAAAGGTTCCTCGGACAAGCACCTCAAAATACATATGTATGTTCCCCCCTCCCCAGGTAGAATCATCAACCATTCTGTATCCAGTTTATCTAGAGTTACATCAGGTATGACTATGCCAGAAAGACTGTGTATTTGTCACGTACTGCCTCTCCCCTAGCACTAAGACCTTCTAATCTTGTCATAGGATGATAATACTTTGATATAAGCTGACTTTCCTCAAAAAACCCTCAAACTTAAAATCAGCCTAGAAGATGCTGGATGTTTCAGATTGTTGTGTTTGTTTTGTTTTTTTGTGGGTTTTTTTAATGTAAATGAAAATTAAACTGATCTGTAGCTACCCTGGTCTTCTTTGTCTTCCTTCTAGATACAGGCACTGCACAATGTTTACGGCAGTCAGGTTCTCCACCTACCCACCATAATTTGTCAAAAATATCCACAAATTATTCTGAAATCACTTCAGCTAACTTTTTATCAAAATTCCTGACACCCAGACAGCTTGAGACCATCTGATTTCCCAAGAGCCTTCTTGAATATATTGAATATATTGGTTTTTTCCTCTATTCTAAGCAGAGATGTCACTGTTTGTCATTATCACCAGTAGTGCTAGTCAGCACTTCTTTCTTTTGAACTTTCTAACAATGACTAGCATGAGGAAATAAAGCACTAAGCATTTCAGCCTTCTTGACATTTTTGAATAGGTCTTTCTGTTTCCATGATTATCCTACATGTACATTAATAGTATGAGGAGGACCGAGGAAAGTGCTGACCTGCTCATTTGTTGTGCTTCGCAGGACTACTGAAAGGAAGGGTTGTCACAGTCATAACAACTGTTTTTTATGTTAAGGGGTCATGACAGAGCAAAGGAGCATTTGTCCTGCAGACTTTGAAACATAAACTAATCTCGCAGTTACAAAGGGAGAACTGTGGTTATTAATTTAGTCATGCCACTTTAGGTCAGTGTCACCAAAAGCTCGTTCCCATTGCTCAAGAGGCAAGCCCTAAGTTATCCCACATGACATCCTTGTCTCTAAATTGCAGAGACATCAAATTGATGAATGGACCACTCGGTGGATAAAGAACTGGCTGGATGGCCACACACAGAGAGTTGTGGTCAATGGCTCAATGTCCGGCTGGAAACCAGTAACGAGTGGTGTCCCTCAGGGATCGGTGTTGGGACTGGTCTTGTTTAACATCTTCATAACTGACACAGACAGTGGGATTGAGTGCACCCTCAGCAAGTTTGCCGATGACACCAAGCTGTGTGGTTCGGTTGATACGCTGGAGGGAAGGAATGCCATCCAGAGGGACCTTGACATGCTTGTGAGGTGGGCTGATGCCAACCTCATGAAGTTTAACCATGCCAAGTGCAAGGTCCTACACCTGGGTCGGAGCAATATCAGGCACAGCTACAGGCTGGGCAGAGAAGAGATTCAGAGCAGCCCTGCGGAGAAGGACTTGGGGGTGCTGGTCGATGAGAAAATGAACATGAGCCAGCTGCAGTGTGTGCTCGCAGCCCAGAAAGCCAACCGTATCCTGGGCTGCATCAAAAGGAGCGTGACCAGCAGGTCAAAGGAGGTGATCCTGCCCCTTTATTCTGCTCTCATGAGACCTCACTTGGAGTATTGTGTGCAGTTCTGGTGTCCTCAACATAAAAAGGACATGGAACTGTTGGAACAAGTCCAGAGGAGGGCCACGAGGATGATCAGGGGACTGGAGCACCTCCCATATGAAGACAGGCTGAGAAAGTTGGGGCTGTTCAGCCTGGAGAAGAGAAGGCTGCGTGGAGACCTCATAGCAGCCTTCCAGTATCTGAAGGGGGCCTATAGGGATGCTGGGGATGGACTCTTCATTAGGGACTGTAGTGATAGGACAAGGGGTAACAGGTTAAAACTTAAACAGGGGAAGTTTAGATTGGATATAAGGAGGAAATTCTTTCCTGTTAGGGTGGTGAGGCACTGGAATGGGTTGCGCAGGGAGGTTGTGAATGCTCCATCGCTGGCAGTGTTCAAGGCCAGGTTGGACGAGGCCTTGGGTGATATGGTTTAGTGCGAGGTGTCCCTGCCCATGGCAGGGGGGTTGGAACTTGATGATCTTAAGGTCCTTTCCAACCCTAACTATTCTATGATTCTACACCTTTGTTGCATATTCTGGGTGTTCCCTGAAGTCCACAGGATTCCTAGAATTTGCATCCATGCTGCCTTTGTGGCAGTCTGAGCTCAGGATCGTCTGGGTCTGGATCAACTTCACTTGCCCATGAAACTGGGGGGACTTCATCTGCCTGCTGTCAGGCAAATAGCATACTTGCAAAGGCAGATGATGGGAAAATCCTGAAATATAACCTACTTTCTGTGGGTCACCTTATTTGGACAATTTTCGTCATGCATAAGAAGGCTGCAAGCAGGATATACACAACTTGGCTAATAAATATATCTTTATGGCTTTAACACAAAGTGAGGAACATGGGTTTTAACACGCTGGTAAACCAAGCATTACTACAAGCTGCTATGTCAGGTGTTAGTATGCTTCTACCCTCCTTTTCCTAAGACACCCAAAGAGCCTTTGCTGGCCCCATAGGCATTGCCAGAAGCAGAAGGGTTGGTCTCCAATGCTCCCTGCAGCAGATCCTTAGTGGTGCTCAGTTGCTGCCTTCTGCCTCTGTAAGTATTTCCTATAGAATTTTCAATATTGATGTCTTCCCCTTGAATCTTTGAGTTCCCGACTTCCCCAGCTGCAACAATTCTGTAACTTTGTCTTACCTGGCATAACTCTGGTTTATATATTTTTTTTCACTTCTTGCAATTTCTCCCTATTTTCCAGAGCTGGGCTGCACTGAAGTTAGGCATTAGGCCCTTGGACACTGCTGAATCCCTTGGAGAAGTGGCAGAAAATTAAGAGAGAGAGGATTACATTGTTCTCAGTCTTGGAGGCAGTTTCAGTGAAAGCTAAGAAGGTAGCACTGTTGATGTCAGACAAGTGACAGGTTAGGCTGGCAAGGAGGGAGGAAGGTAAGAGTCAACCTCAAGCACCAGAGCCAGCCCTGTCCCACCACTAGCATTGATTATGGGAGCTGCCTTGCCTGCTGGATTTGTCCCATAGGGGAGAGATCTTCCCAGCTCATGACTACTTATAAGGGACTTTCTGCTCCCTCACAACATGGCTCCATGTTTTCCTGGGCTGCAGTGATAGAAGTCTGAAAGACAAATTAGACAGACATCTCCTCTCCAAGTGCACCACTCTTTAAATAGAGGCTCACCAGTTTTCCCAGATGTTAGTTTAGCAATGCAAGGGCTAAACAAACAGCAGCAGATGGGAAGTCCCCTGTTGTTGTGCACCACAAAGCTAGAATACAAATCCAAAACACGTTTTGCAGAGTTGCTGCTCACAGCAGGTTAGTTTGAGTGAGCAGTGAGCTACAGCTGAAGGAAATGAGAGAGCAGCAGGAACGTTGTTATATCCTTCTCAGCTGTGATTAGGAAGGAGCATTGGAAGATGATGGCTCACCTCTGAGTTCTGTGTGCTGCTGCTGCAGCAAGGGTAAATGCAGAAGTAACACCTTTTTTTTTTTTTTAAAGACTTTTTCCCCAGAAATACTTTATCAAGAGTATTGCTCTCAGGGCCATTTATTTTAGGGGAGAGAGACAGGTTATCTCAATAGTTGTTACACGATGTTCTAGCAAGATAGACTTTCTCCAGAGACAGTGCTTTTCCTAAGGAGATGAATCTATTTTGCAGAGCTTTTTCTTGTATGTTTCAGAAAACTTATTTCTGTTTCCATTTTTTTGAAAACAACACAATACTCTTTGATGCCTTGGGGTGTTGGTTCCCTGTGATGTGGTGTTCAGGAACATGGCCCCAGGATGTGAGACTAATGGAGCAGAAGCCACAGAAGCATCCACACTTCTGTGGTTTTTCCCTTCATTTCCCCATAGGAATGAACTTGCCTTTTCCAGCATTTTCAAGACCCATTTAGCCAATAAAACGCTTTCCCGGATTCCCAGGGTCACACGTGCAAAATCAGAGAAGTAGCAGCATCATGTTGTTTCCCGCAAGTGCCAGCACTGCCACATGATTGTTTCTGGAGCTAAAACATCTCTTAAAGGTGTGGGGTGTCTGAAAAACACCTGGGTGACTAGCTCTGAGGTTTATATTTCCAGGCTGGGTATTACTGGATTCACAACCTGGTTTATGTAGGGCAGAATATGTGTGTGTGAGGGGAAGGGGAGAAAACTGTCACTGGCAAGCAGATGCTGGTGAAGCTATCTGTCCTTGCAGGTACCAGGGTTCCTGAGGTGGATCCAAGCCATCAGATTTCACAGCCAGGATGAGCTGCCAATTTCAGTACTGGCACTGCCCCAGCTGCCTGCTTTGCAAGATGCTTGGGTTTTGTTTATGCACAAGGGAGCTGTGTTTTGTGAGTACCCCATCCACCACAGGGGATGTCTCTGTGAGCAGAGGGCCAGCACTAATGCCATCCTGTATGCCTGTGAATGAATTTGCCCTTTATTCAGTGCTCTCCACCCCTGCTGAGTCAAGGGCCCTGCACTGCTCATAGGCATGCATGGATGCTGCCGTTTGCAGCGCTGGTTCAGCTGGGCTTCCTTACCCTGTTGCCTCTAATTCTGGACAAAAAAAGGGTTGTGGAGCAGCAAACACAACAAGACCTCTATTCTTAGCCTGGAATGCCTCAAAGCCATTTCTCTGGGGTGTAGGGTGATGAATATGCAGTTACTGAAGCTCTCAACAAAGCCGAGTGCACAGCAGCATTTGTCATTAGCTCTGAACATACACTCCTCTCCCATTGGATCTGTAGCCTTCACTGCAGCTTTTCACAGTTACATAAATATGGCCTATTTTCCCCTCACAAATTAATCTTGCTAAGTTTAGGCTTTTGCACACATACAAAACAAACCCTCTGATTTTTCACATGCAGCTGGATCACCAGGATCCTGGATCACCCAGGGAGAAGCCATCCCTGATGGTATAAAGTCTTTACAGTGATGGACAGTGGCACGGCAATGTCTCTTTGTGAGTGACGTGACTCTGCGAAGTCCTGGACACTGTGCTGCAAATCATCTGAAATGCCTTGTCCTTTTTTTCCCCAGGGAAAGTCAGACCCCAGCTGCAAGGATGCTGGAGGGTCTGCCTTCCTGGCAGGCTGCATGGCGTCCTGGAAACTGAGAGGTTGGCTGCATGCTTTGGGGCACAGAACAGATGTTCTCACTCTCCAGAAGCCACAGATGTGGGTATTATTTTCCCCAAAGATGGTTCATGCCTACACTGCCTTCAACTAGGAGATTGCACTGCAGCATATCTGCATTAAAACAGGCCTATAGAGAGCAGGTGTCATTTGGAAATCTCTCAGCCTTGGGGTGTAAGACAGCTGACATGCACCCACTAAGACTCCAGCAGGCTTTATTAGTGATATATGTAATACACATGGAAAAAAGATGTCCATGCCCACCCTTGCAGTGATACTACTCTCTACTTCAGCAGCCTCAAGGGATCCAGCTCCCCACTGCTGCTGGAGTTTCTGCATACTGGGGAAATGGTCAGGATCCTGGCATAGCTTTACATCTCAGCCTCTTACTCCTCTTGTGGTGGGAATAAGGACTCCTGATTTTAGGTCCTGAAACCATTATCCCCTGAGACAATGTATCTGCTGCTACAGTCGGAGGAACCATCTGTAGCTATGGATCTACAATGAGACCTTTACTATTCTAGGGTTGATGGCATGCTGTGACTGAAAATATACTCTGACAGCTCCTGGCAAAGTGACTCACGAGAGAGATGTTTCCTGGAGCTGGGCACCAATGTCCTGAGGCCAGCTGAGCAGGTAGGTGGCTTGTGTGCTGGATTTTGGCTCAGTAGGACTGTGTCCTATCCTCCCCTGTTGCAGTGTGATCTCAGGTGAGTTGTTAACGTGTGTTAGAGATGGACTTGGCAACGTGGTGTACTCTTAGGTTAATCGCTGTAGAGAGTATCGACTAGGAGACTTTTTGCGCCTGTAATTAAATGCATGCCATATGTTGATTTTTATTAACAGCAGCCTTATGGCTAGATATACACACGTCTCTGGAATCACCAATGGGAGATGCCAGAGTAGGGAACTCCAGTGAACAGGTGACTTGGGTGTTTCAGGGGAGCGTGTAGTACCTTAAGTATCTGAATTTGCTTTCATTTTAATCCTTCTGACCAAACTGCGCACCCCAGGCAAGACCCAGCTCCTCTGAGTGGTAAGCCACTGAGGAAGGAAGAGGAGAGGAGGTGTGGGTCTTTCACAAAGCTGAAAAAGGAATCAGGGCCAAATCTCTTACTTCCTTTCAAAGGAGCACCAGCCTTTAAGCATGTGATGCTTTAGAAAAGCACATTGTAAAAATCTGTGGATTGAGGAATTAGTGCCCCTTCGGGGAGGATTACACCATGTCTCTGAATCCCTGGCATTTTGGGTCTGTCATTGCAGCAGATCAGCAGTGTCAGGGACTGCAGTCAGCTCTGTGCAGCATGCGCATACATACAGCTTTCTGTGCAACGTGCAAGGGGGAGGTATTATGGCTTGAGTGCCTTTGCACACACTCCTGACAGGCCTTTGGACCTGTACTGACATGACCTGGATAATGGGAATGAGAGGGGAAGGGTGAGCTTTATGTGATGCTGGTGTTTTGGATATTTGCAACCCACTTTCTGTCTGTCTTGGTGAAATACTGTCTCCAAAACCTCTGGATCAGACTAGCCTTACAACATCCCTTGGTGCAACTGCAGAGAGCTGGGGCTGGGGCTTCTTTTTATGTTCAAAGGAGAAAGGAGTCATCAAGGAAAACCTGAACTCCATCACTGCAATCCCCTCCAGCCCTCTGGTATGGCATTTCCCCTCCCAGGTAAAAGCAAAGGCAGACAACAAAACCCCTGGTGCCTAGGTGGTAGTTTTCCTTGCTCCAATGGTCTGTGAGGTCTTAATCTCTCCCTGTCTCTTTTCTCCACCATGCCCCTGGCCAGCAGCAGATGCTGGCAAGTTCTCCACGGGCAGCAGCCAGCCTGCAGCAATAATGAGAGCAAGTCAGGCAGTGCCATCCTATACAAGCCTCTGTCTGCTCTGTGTGTGTGCGTTTGCGAGAGTGCGCGCTCTCATTCTCCCTTCTCCCCCTTCCCTCTCTTTCGTAACCCCCCTCCTTCCACCAGCTCTTATTCTTTTCATGAGATACAGGGCTGGAGAGCCAGGAAAAGTGGCACAGTGCTGCTGCTCCTCCAGAGATAACTGTGGCAGGGCTGGGTCCTTCACCCTCCCCAATGCATCGGGAGTCTGCAGACACTGTTCCTCAGGGTTCCAACCAGCTGTGTCCATCAAGCACCAAAAGCCACGTAGCCACCACTCTACTGCCAGCTGCAAGACAGGTAAGAGCTAGGAGGGCCCTTGTGGGTGATGAAAGGCCCTGTGGTCCTTTGCTTGCTTATGAGTCCCTGGGGGAGGGGTTCTTACTTGCCCCGGTTTTCAGTGAGAAAGATGGCTCCACAGGCAAAACAGGAGAGGAAGGGTGCTGCTCAGATGTCACCCCTATTGATGTCATGTCAGTGCTTCTCCCAGTACATTAATCTCCTGTGGTGTCTTATGAATGGTCAAAGGGACACAGGCACTGCTTTTAATTAGCAGGCGGGGAAAGAGAGCAGCGTATTTCATAAAGCCCAGCCCAGACCTGTCTGGGCTGATACAGGAGCACAAGACTTATTCTAGGGTAATCTCCGTTTCAATGGGATTAGCAGTGGGCCTTTGATGCTGAGAAAAAACATCAGCCTATGCTGGTGCCTGCAGCTCTTCGATCTTCACCATCTTTTCATCCATTCCCCCTTCCCCCCTCCCCCCCCATTGTTGTTATTTTTAAATGGTGGATTGTATTTCCTTTGGATATTTGAATATCATCTGTGACACTGTGACTAACACTGGGGTTAATGCTGCGACTGAGCTAGTTAAAAATAAGACTACTTGGAGCAAAAAGACAACATGCTGATGGCAAGGGAACTGCACTGAGCAAAGAGTGTAGCAAAAATTTGCAGATGGCAGGAGCATGTGCACTCTTTGGGGGAAGAATGGGGAATAATTAACTTGTGGGGCTACTTATTCTTCAACCCTGACTGCAGGGATGCTGTAATTTATGGAGACTGCTGCAGCAGCAAGGGTCATCTCTTTGCCATCATTTTATGGGTGGGGGAAACAGACCGGCAATTTGGCACAGCTAAGAAATACAAGGCACCCACTGTGCTAGCATCTTCTCTCTCTCTGATTATTGCTGCACCCAGTCCCAGAGGAGCAGAGTTGCATTCCCCCATCTGGGGAGTGTACACATTGCATGAAGGGCTGTCCTTTCACTGTCCTGTTGTGCTGCCCTTCTCTGAGGCTCACTTGTTCCTGCAGTCCCAGGCTCCTCTGAAGCAGCACAGTCTGTGCTAGCAGGACAAGCCTGGCCTCGCCCTGCAGTCCTTCCATGTGGCTCTAGAAACATTGCCCAGTCCCTAGGGCTTGACTGGTGCAGGTGCCGGCAGAGATCGGTGTGCGCATCTCTATCTAGACTGGCAAGACACAGGTAATGATTGCAGGACAGTCTCCTGAGGAGAGATTGGTGCTGGATGCAGCAGGCATTCTTATGAAAGAATCTCCATTTGCCAGAGAAAGAGGATGAGCCCATCTAACTCAATTCATTTATGTTTTAATTAAGGCTAGAGCAGCAGCCTCCAGAGATGAAAGGGAAATGCCAACTCAACCATGCAGTTAACTCTGTGTTTTATCGTATAAATATCCATTCAACTCCTCACATGTTTAAAGTTAAGCACGTGCTCAGTGGAAATGACCTGGAGCCACACTGTGTATCTGTATACTAGTTAATAGCTGCAGTAAATCCTTGCTGTGGCACCTGGATGCCTTGTTGAGCCTGAGTTTTTGAAATAACAGTGATAAGAGTGAAGAAGCATAGACCTTGTCCATCATAAATGGATTTATGACTGCAACCCTGAGATCTTGGGGCTGATTTCTAACATTCAATAAATGACTAGTTTGCAGTGTTCAGATTGCAAAATGTAGGCTACTTGCAAGCACCTTGAATCATCTCTTAGCAGAAAATTAACCCCATCTGTCAGCAAGCCTCACTCCCTGGCCTGTGTCAAGCATCAGATCTCAATCAAAACATACAAGGGACAGAGCATCTGCAGTAGGGGATCTTTGTGGAGCTCTGTCTGTTTGGGTGGATCTGTCTTGGCTTCCCAACCGTACACACCAAAGGCATTACAGATGCTGCCATACTGACAGCAGCAGTGATGCTGAAAACTGAGAGGACTCCAAGGCTGCACAGAGCAGTTCTGTGTCAAGCCCAATCCTTTCTGCCTCCCTGCTCCACACTAACAGCATCCTCTCCAGTGCGCATGCAGAGGCACTGACTAGCTTCTTTACGTGTAACTGCTCCTGGGCATGGGAGCATGTTTCCTCAGAGAACAATTATGAAATTGTAATAAAGGGCTTTAAAGGGAAAATTCTTCCCTTGATTCCTGTCTTGCATGTTGTCTTTCTCAGCCCGGAGCCTCCCACACTGCTTAGCTGTTGGTTTTGCTTGCTACCTGCCTGGGGGAACTGGGGACAGAGCGGAGAGCACACAGGCTGGGGCCAGGAACCATCTCGCAGCAGAGGCATCTGTTCTGCTGCAGCAATCACAGTGCCTGAGAGCCACAAACATGTCCAGGAGTCACTTTTATCATTGACGCAGGAGAGAATTTAAATAGCCATGCTCTCAAGCTAAGCCAGAGACAGAACTGTGGATCGCACTTTATGTAATTCGCTTTTATTTTTAAACATAGTCTTTTATTTTCAAGGGGTGTTCAACTCAGTGGGTGTCTCCCCTTTCCTGCACTTGTTAGCACATGTGAAGTGGCTTCTTCTATCAATCCCCCATCTGTTATATCCGCTGCTTGGTTTCCTCACCTACCCCTGAAACTCAAGCTCTCCTTGTTTCACCCTTGAGGCTCTCATGCTTGCCTGGCCTGATGTGGAGAATGATTTGAGGTTTAAGGTGAATAGAAAAAATAATCCCTTAAAGACACTCTGAGCTCTGGATATTTCATGGAGCTCCTTTTTAGGAGGGGGAATCTGTTCTTGTGGCTTTCTTCACGAGTAAGACAAGTCTGTAATTTGTTTTGCAGTTTAGGAAGGTATCTATGTCAGTTGTAATTTCTTCCTCCCCAGTCACCTTATGCTGGACCAAGTGTGTTTTCTAGTGGATCCTCAAATAAGCAGGCAGGCAGCCTGCAATAGTGAGCAGAACATTGCATGTCAAATGTCTGTTACTGAAGATTTTCTTCCAGCTTTATTTGCAAATAGTGTTAGAGAACAGCAAGCTCTGGAGGTAAACTAACTATTAATCTGAATTACCTTCAGGTCAGGCCCATATAGGTAGCAGTCTGGATTCTGGATAAATTTTGAATTGCCGTATGTCAGAGGACATTGAATGATGCTTAGTGTCATTAGAGATTTGCTAGGATTGTCACTCCAGGTCAAGGGTGGTTGTTCTTTCCAGTCCTCCATCAAGCCCCCTCAAATCAAGCCAGAAGTGGACCAAGTGCTGCAGGCTTGTAGATGAGATAAAGGCAGGCTTTGCAGCATGCAGGTCACCTGAATTCCCAAAGCAGTGACTACTGTGGGAGGCAGTCAGCCTCATGTAACTGGCATTTTGCAGTCACAGGACCTACATGACTGAGCATCTTCAGAGAGATCATAGAGGCAACAGGATCTCATGAAAACATTCCAAGGAATGATTCCACCTGTGAGGATGTATCTGCCAAACATCACAGCAGTCTGAATAAGCACTTTCTTGGCACCAGGGAAACTCTCTTGGGCTAGGAAGCTGTGAAGCACACCCTTGAACAAGCTCCTTGCAGCACAGGACTAGAAAAGAGAGATGCTGGCACAGACCCAGGAGAAGTCACAAAGGAAGAGAGAATGCAACCCCAAAGAAGTTCAAAGCCCCTGTGGCATGGATCACTGTAAATATGACAAGGGCACAAAGTCAGAAATGAGAAGTGGAAGTGACAGTGGCAGGCTTGGCGTGACAGCTCGTTAAGCATAGAATAATGGAATCCTAGAGCAGCAGCAGACCCCAGTGGAAACAGAGCAAGAGTGAGAAGACACAGAGAAGTCTGCTTAAATGTCAAGGTGAAGGAGTTTGTTTAAGGCAAAGCCACTGGAGATGTGAGCCAAGCAAATGAGCTAGTCAGTGTAGGCATCCTCTGATCTTCCAGCTCCCACTTGAGAAGGGTGATTAGCTGCCAGCCCTGGGAGGAGCATCTTTGTATCTGGAGAGGCAAAAGCCACACAACTACCAGCCAAAGCTGCCTTCGTGATCCTGCTGGATGTGTAAGGACAGACATACTGGAAGGAAGAGATATCTTCAGGCCAAGCAATTCTATCTAGCAGTTGGGTGGCAGAAACTGCAACCAAGTGAAACCGTAGGAGGTGTTTGGTCCAGAAGTTTCTGTGTAGAAAAGACTTGAATGATGATCAATGAACAAAACACATGGAATAGGCAGGAAGGTGTTTAAAGTAATAGGGAGGGTGAAAACAACCCTGAGATGGTGAAGAGAAGATTAACATCCAGGGAACAGGCTGGCAAATTCCTTTCCACCCTGCCCGGTGACAGACCAACACTCCCAAGGCTGCACGTGTTCACCACTTGTGTTTTGCTGTTAGCAGGTCATGAGGAAATTGCTTCAATGTATTTGTTGGAGAGATTTAAAATTTTGGATGGAATTCAAGCCTAATATCAAAATGAGTTTTTTCATTAAAAGCTTTTAAATAGAAGCTACAGAGTAGTGAAAAGCAGGAGAGCTGTTTTAGAAGGGATTTGCCATAAAACTCTTCTGCTGCACAGAAGCTTTCTAAAATATTACCCTGTAAAAAATGTAATTCTCTTTACCTGCAATTTAATTACATTTCCCATAGTGCCCGTGTCAGCATAGTTCACTTCTTTTTGCTCTGCATTAACTCACACCTGGCTGCAGAAACTAGAAGGAAAAACTGTTGATGTTCAGAGCTGTTTGTGGGTTGTTAGGATCTCACTGAGGTCGCAAAAAGTTTTACTTCTATATTGGAGAAATAGGAATATAGAAATATGGTCTCTGTCTATGTTGGTGATGGCTGTGAGATGGCAATATAGAAAACTGGGGTAAAAGCAGGAGAAGTGGGAGCACTCACGTGGTCCTCTGATTTATCCCATCCAGAGTTAGTGGATCAGAGTTTTTGATCTGTTTGAGACTGCAGCAAAGTCAGGTATCTGAATAAGGGACCAGAATTATCTAGAGCTTTGTTGATTAATATTTTGTTGACCTCCTTCACCCCACAGTGTCTGTGTGTGTAAATGAGGTCTGAGAGTTGCCCTGGAAGTATTATGAAAACTCCACTTGTGATATCCTGCGGTTGCTCAGAGAGAAGCTGGAAATGTGGAAACGCATTAGAGCAAAAACGACACGATTGAAGTTAAACCCTTGGTGATGTTGTATTAAATTTGCCTTGTGTTTGGGGCAAGTGCTGAAGCTGAGCATTATTTAACTTGAGCAAAACAGCCTGTCATAGCAGAGGCATAAAATGAACCTCAACCTTTGACCTTGGCTGAGAGGAGTTGTATCTGCCATGGTGTTTTCTCAATGCTTGTCTTCTGATAACTGGAGACATGATTAACCTGAGTCAGGATGACCTGGGCTTTGTGATGGGAGGATGAGAACAAGGCAAATATTTCCATTTTACATTGAGCTGTGAAAGAGGGGATCCAAGTTGATGGAGAGCTGGGATCATTACTGCAGTGCTACTAATCCCTTTGTTTTTGTAGTAAGTTTAGCAAGATTCTGTTTCTGCCTAGGGATGTTGCCTGGTGATAATGTGCTATCTCAAGACATGCTTCCTGCTAGTAGCACCAGGATGTTAGGCACAGCAGTTTTTTTAGCAGAGGAAAGGCTGCACGTTTCCAGGAAAAGGACAATGACTTGTTTAACTGCAGAGGGCCTTGTTTGTTTGTTTGTAGTTGATCAACTTCATTATGTTCAAAAAAGCAATAAAGCAACGGAGATCCCATGGCTTGAGCTCTCAGTGAGTCAGTGACACACAGCAGTGGCTGTGCAGCCTGTGTGACACCCAGATGTTGTGCTAAGCTGAGAGTTGGGGTTGTGCTGCAGCTGCACTGTGTTGGAGCCCTGGGTTAGGTTGTTGTTAGATCTCTGGGGTGAGGCTCTGGACATCCTATATGCATCCTGTGGAGGATGAAGGTGTGGGTGTAGGAGTGAAAAGGGAATTGGAACCTATAACCATGGGGTGAGCACACTGAGAGAGGTTGCAGGGAGTGAGCAGGACTGCATGCATCAGGTAAAAGAAAGGGGGAGATGGATGCAAGGGGTCAGTCACATTAGTGACTTGCCAAGGGGATTTTTTTTTTTCTTCTGTCATCCCATGCCCTGCAGAAAGGTCTTCCCTTTCCTGTTGCCAAAATTTTATTTGGCCCTGCTGACATCTGGTCACTTTAATTAAACTCTCCCACCCCTAATGTCTGTGACAACTCCTGATGATCTGTGATCTGAGGGCAGCAACCTTCCCTAAACCTCAGAGGAGCCGATTAAAATGGTGCAGGCGGATGCTTTTCTCTAACATACCGAGGGTGACAACAGCGAGTGCTTTTGCAGGCATCTCCCCCTCCCCACCCCCAGATGCTCCCTGCCAGACTTTGGCATCCACCGCACGTGCAGAGCAGTCCCCCATCTCCAACGGGGGAGAAGCTGGGCTTTTGCTGCCAGGTGGGTGCGGAGGGGATGCCGCGAAATGTGCTGCTCTGGTGGGCTCCCCGGCAGTGCCGCTGACGAGCAGTGGGAGCCAGCTGCACAGCAGAGCATCAGTCTGCTGGCTTGAGGCTGCTGTAGGGGTTTGCTGGATGTGAGAGAGCTGCTCTGAGCTGCGCTGCTGCTGGCCGGAGAGAGGTGGGGAGGGAGGGGAGGGGTGTCCAAGTGAGACTTTCACCCTGTGCAGGGGGTTGTCTCTGAAGAAGACCATTCTGCTCTCTCCCCAGAGCCTCTCTGACCACGCTGTCGGCACAGACCCACTGGCAGAGAGGACAGGTCAAAGGCAGTGAGTATCTTTTTTTCTGTCTGCAGTTTTTTCTGGCTTTTGCTGCATTTGAATGAATGGTCTTAATATCTTGAAGCCCCTGAGAGCTCATGGTTTGGTTTGTTTAGGTTTTGTTGTTGTTGTTGTTGCGTTTGTTGTGGGGTTTTTAACCTTTGTGCTGCTATTGTTTTTTCTATTGGGATGGTTTCTTTATCTTTGCTCAGGTGATCTCCTGGGGTGGTTTGATAACCTGCATGTCACAATCGTACCCTTTCTGTCTCCCAAGGAGAAAGCCCAAAACACATTCATGATGAGACTGGCAATTCTCCTTGACTGGGGTCCTTTTGTAAGAGGGGGAGGTAGGATGAAGGATGGAGGGAGACGCGAAAAACCTCACCACGGACACCTACCAGGATGCCTTTACCAGGCAGCACAGATTGTATTTCTAAAGTCAAAATTGACTGTCTTTATTTGCAATCAGAGGAAATATCTGTGGGTATGTCAGCTTAGCAGTGGGATTGCCTTCACAGGAAATGTAGGTCTTGGCATCTGTGAAGTCATACAGACTTTGGGATCGCAGGGAAGTTCGATGCTGCCTAGCTGTGCAAGTTGTTGTTGCGGGGACTGGCAAGTGGGTGGGAGCAGGGGCAAGCAGAAGGCTATTTCATAACAGTATCCCAAAAAGCAGGCTGCTAGAGGAGGCTGCAAGGGAGAGGGCACCTAGCTCTGCTTCCAGCTGTCACTCTGCAGTAGCAACAGGAAAGAGGAGTAGGGGCTGCTGGACTCTAGAAAATCATGTGCTATGGCCCCCCATGCGGGTGAGGCTGCTAATGAGAAAATTTGAAGGGGCTTAAGGAATTACAAGGATTGATTTCAGTTAAAGCGCATCGAAGCAGCCGGTCGGGGGAAGGATTAAGGAAATACACTCACTGGCATGTAGCACAATCCCAGTTCCATTAATTTAGTTGGGAAGAGGCTTTGTGCATTTTTAATGTAATCAGATTTTAAAAGGGATGTTGCATTGGACAGCCCAAGCTCTGGGATTTCCCCAGGCCCCAGCAGTGCAGGGTCCTGGTTCCTTTGCACACAGCCTCTATTCTTACCACTTCTTTTGTCTCCTCCGCCATTTATTTCTTGTGACAAGAGGACACGGAGGTTACCTGGAGCTTGGCCCTGTCCTGGCAAATAAGAAACCTTTGCCCTTAGCTCACCATACAGTCCTGCTCTATTCCATCGGTCTCCTGGCTGGTGGACCTCACCTTCACACTCTGATGCGAGATTTGTTCAGTCAGCTGCCCATGTGCCAAGGCTCACAGGGACTTTACCATCCCTTACTTCCCCTGTACCTCCTTCCTTCCTTCCTTCCTTCCTTCCTTTCCTTCCTTTCCTTCCTTCCCTTCCTTCCCCTTTGCAGACTGTACATCTTGGTGGCTCCCCACAGGCTCCCACCACCCTAAAGAAGAGATGCTTTCTTTGAGTTATTTTTGTGTGAGTGCTTAAGCCTGTGATGGTGAAAGGACCAGCATCTGCAGACACATGAAAGTCCTCCTTTATTCTATTTGCAGTGCCAGCTTTTCCATGATGCCTGGTCAGTAACATCAGCCATGACCTGGAAGGACAGGGACAAGAGGTAGTTTGGTCTTCTTAGCGAGGTCAACCCGGAGCTCTGCCTGTTGAGGAGAGACCTTCAGAGGTGTTGAATGATGAGTGCAATAATGCCAACTCCTGCTGCTCCATGGTGAGCTGTGACACCAAACTCAAATCACTTTAGACCTGAAGCTGGACTTAACCTGCGGTCTTGGTCTTAGAAGGAAATGCTGTCTCTCCACTGTGATCATCCTTTAACTCTGAACGTCTTCCACTGAAAAACTGACCTTCCGCGCTAGGAGGCAAGGATCAAATGGGTTGAGAATAACTGGCCCTCCTTTTGTTTTCCAGAGGATCCTTTGGTACATTTTTGAGTGCTAGGACATGAAACATTAAATCCTTCCTTCCTGCACTCCTGCCTCCTGCAAACAGCCCCGACTGCTGTCCAAGCCAGCCAGTTAAAGGATTAACTATAGCTGGATGCCTGAATGGCTGCCTTACTGATCCCACGGAGGTAACTGAAAAGACATGATGCATCTCTCATCCCTGCCCATCCTGTCATTGCCTACCTTGTCCAGCAAGCCCTTCAGCTTGCTGTGGTGCCCCCTCTTCCCTCCTGCCCTTCCCTGCCCTCTGCACCTCCCACGGACCCAGATTCTTTTCCTCTTTCTTCTGTGTCCTGTCTTGGAAGTCCTCACCTAGAGATCAGTGTTCCGCAAGAGACAAGTTCCTTGCATGTGGGTGGTGCAGTTGTCCCTGTCCCTCAAACTCTCTGATTCCCTGCTGCAGTGCCTTGATCTCAGGCATCAGAGAGACATCTGAGCAGCACTGCGGTAATGCGTGTCACACCTTTCACTGCGAAATTCGTGAGCTTGCTAGAAAAAATAGTGCAGACAAGACAAAGGTTGGAGGTGGGAGGTATCAGGAAAGGTACCAGAAAGATCCTATAGTGGGCTCCATGTCTTTGAGCACAGCAGGTCCAGCGTGCTCAGCCAGGAACACAGCACTTTACACACAGTATTGTTGCACTGATGTTTGAGGTTTATGTAGTGTAGCATCCCAAAACCACTAACCATGGGCAAGTAGTCTGAGGCTGTGCAACAATTCCTGCAACTGAAGATCTCCAGGTTTTTGTGCTTGTTAACTGCTGCGAGCTGCCTGTGCTGCGCCAGGGAGACACTCATTGCATTTAATTAACATTTAATTTGCTTTAAGATTACATTAAAATGTGCAATAATAGAAACTCTCTGAAGGGCGGGAGGAGAAGGGGGAAACAGGCATGCTACAGATTGGCTCAGCTGCTGGTGCTGAAGTGTTCTGCAAGAATTACATATGGAAGAGAAAAATAATGTACTTCCCTCTACAGTCACAGAAAGTATTTAGCATCTCTTAGGCAGCAGGGCTCAGGGAAGGGCTTTCTTCAGCTAAGTGTGTCCAGCAGCTGAGAAGTGGAGAGTAGGTCACTAAATCTTCCTCCTGTGGACCAGAGGATAGGATGGCCTTTTTTGATGTCTTGGGAATCTAGCATAAGAGATGACCTTGGGCTGGAGAGGCAAACATACGCTCTGCCCTTCTCAGACCATTCATAACAGGCATCTCTATGTTTCTGAGAGGAGATGATGCCAGCCCTGTATAATGCATGTGTGTGTTTTCCCCTCCTCTCCTTTTGTGTTCTTCCATGTCCCAGGATTATGTAATGAAGGATGCTGTGGAAACATTTTCTATCCTGCGAAGGGGCTGGCAAGGACATGAGGGCTGATGGAGGCACAGAGGCTCTGAGTCTGGTTTGTAATTCAGAGGGAAAAGAGCAATAAAGCCATTTTCTGCCTGGGTAAACCTGTCAGGAAAGAGGCAGTTTTAGCCTGCTTATGTAACCCTGAGTCTAAAGAAGCTACTTGGGATTGATCCTAGCCACAGTTTCATGGCTCTCCTGCACAGGCTCACCTTACAGGTGCCTTACTCCCTCTATTTTTCTTCCCTCCCCCTCCTGCCCTCAAACCCTGGTATTTGGGCTTTTTCTGGTGCTGCTGGATCATGGGAACTTATTTCTGGTATTGCTGCCCTTTGCTCTCCTTCCACACCTCACCAGAGCAGGATTTCCAAGAAACCATCCCAAAGTGCAGTCTTTGAAAGCCTTTTTGCCAGTCAGAGCAGCGGAATGACTGGTGTGGGTGAGCCTTCAGCTGCTCTGGTGCTGTCTGTCCTTAAGAGACTGTTTGGCATCTCACTGAAGATGTTTCAGGGTCCCTCCCACAGATGAGGGAACCAAGGACACAGGTCTGATGAGGCACAGAGACACTGTGTTTCTTTTATTCTATTTTATTTTGGTTTGGTTTGGGTTTTGTTTTTTTTTCCGCTCTGGCTAGACTTATAATCAGTGTCTTTTTTTGGTTTCCCCTGCTTACTCCCCTGCTCCCCCATATCGACCATAGGAACAGAGGGATGAGGACTCGCCTGGGCTGCCTGTCTCACAAATCAGACTCATATAATGATTTCACAGCTATTCTTCCGGACAAGCCCAACCGGGCTTTGAAGTGAGTATAGCTGCAGCATCTCACCCCAACCCCATTTCTGTCCTTCCCCTCCCTGCCCACCACCTCTTCCAGTGTTATCTTCCTTTTATTGTACTTCGTATGAGCTTTGACTGGTTCTTTTAGCCACAAGGAAGAAGGAAAACAAAACTGCTGATACAGTAGGAACAGCTTTTTCAGAAAATACCCTGATCGTTGGTATGAGTTCTCCTGTGTGACAGGACATGCGCACTGTCCCCACTGCTCTACGTGGAACATGCCTGCACATATTTGAGGATGTAATTTACCCTTCTGTCATCACAAATCAAAGTCTGAACAGTTGACTTGGTGTAAGAGGTGACCAGCAATTTCAGGTCGCTGTCTGCTTTAGCTAAGCCTTGCTATTAAGCACTACCCAGAAAGTTCTCTGTTAGTTTGCACAACACTTAAGGTAGATGCTTCAGACAATCCAGAGTCCTGATTTGAGATGAGTGGGGTGGGATTCATGTGATCACAAGTCACTGCTTACACCTGAGCTAAGACTTTAATTTTCCCCTGGAAGTCAAGAAAGAGAGATAAACAATCCTGCAGGGATGGGTTTAATTTTGCTTGACTTTTGGCTTTTACAATGTAAATATCTACATCTGAACTTGTTCTCTGGGCCTCTGCTTAGAGTCAGTGAGGAAAAATTAGTCCCTTTTTGGGTGTGGTTCATCTGGTCTGTTTTACCCACTTACCTGTGGATGTGAGCTGAAGAGAGCCAAGTCCCTGCACGTCCCTCTGTTTCCTCACTGATTCTAAAGGGAGCCAAGGGTGACTTGCTCACCTGGAGACTTTGACATTGTAGACCTCCAATGTTAAGTGAGAATTCCAGCCTTCCTTGATGTCCTTGTCAAACAGCCGTAGAGGTAACCAGTGGCCATGGGTTGTCTGTAACTTACCCCTTCCTTTCTTTACAGAAGGCTGTCAACAGAAGAAGCATCAAGATGGGCAGACTCTTTTGATGTCCTTTTGTCCCATAAATGTGAGTAGAGATCAAATTCTACCTTTTTTACCCTCGTACCCTTGATACTGGTTGTAGCTAGAGCAAACAAAATATGCATTGCACACAGCAGAAATGGTCCTTCAGATAGCTCCTTACTACCCACTAGGCAATGCTCGCAATCATTTATAGGCAGGACTTGTCCTCTGGTTAAAAGGAATGGATTTATGTGGGTTTCCTTCCTGGCTTTGCTCTTCACTGAGTGATCACAATTGATAAAGTCATTAGCCCAAGGTCTAGCCTTCTCCAGCTCATGGGGATGTGCTAGAGGGAGGATCCCAAGGCTGTAGCCATGTGTACCATCCTTTGGAATGTACCCCTGGATCCAGTCTTTCCACACAAGCAAATGGCAGGTTCTCAGCTCTCTAAAGCCCCCTGAGATCTGTGACACCATCTTGTTTCTCTCTCCCTCCAGCTGCTCTTCTGAGCTGCTGTGTGGCTATGCTGTGCTGAAGTGCAGCCTTTTCTACAACACAACAGTGTACGTGGTTCAGTAACCTTGAACAACTTGCTCTGTAAAAGAGAAATCATGCGTGGTAGCCCTTAGCAGAATCCAATTTACAGTTGCCAGTGCAAACTTGAAAATTTCACATCCAGAAAGTTATGCAAATGAATAATCAGTGCACCCCAATCCATTCAATCGATCATATCAGTTCTGTTCAGAAAACATTACTCAACTTCAACATTTTCACACTGGGAAATTATAAACAAGACAGAAAAGCTCACAGTATAAGTTCACTGATGTGTTTCTATTGGAGAATAAAACGAGAGAGTCAGGGTTGGAGAAAAGTCAATGTGGGTGGTGAACTATTTTATTGCAACAAGGAGCTGTCTGGCTTTCAAAGAGATTCGGATTTTTCTGCACTTAATTTTTAAAATATAAGTGTAGAGTAATATTATTTTTTTTTATATAAAGTGTAATTTTGCTGGATTTCCACTGATATGACAACCGTTTTTGGCAGGCAGTTAAGTGACAACTTTAAACAGGCTGGCTGACCAAGGCAGAAAAAGCAATATATAATTTTAGCAGCAGTATCTTGTTGAGATTATTGCTCTTGTATCCAATAGGGAAAAAAAAATACATGGTGTTGCTGGGTATGGCTAAGAGGGAATGTTTATTCTATGGAAATTCAAAACAAGAAGGGAAAATTGTACCAGTTTGACTATTGGGTGCCTGGGGAATGAGGAGGGGGGAGGACAGGATGTTCACATCAGCATTGCAGTTCTGTACTCCAGCCCCTGTTCCACCTTCACCATTGTAAAAGCTGAAATTTTCCTTCTTAGATAGAGACTGCAGCAAAAGTTCTTTTGTTACAAAAGCCAGTGAATTTGCACATCTGTGTACTGACACTATACAGATTGTTCCCTCTTCAGCTGACTGCTGCAAATGCTAAATCAAACCTTATTTCAATTATTTTGTCCAGCAGCCTCCACAAGAGTTTCTGGGTTTATTAATAGATTAGCCTTATAGAGTGATGAATGATCAGAATTTTTCTTGTCTCTAGAGTGGAAAGTATCTGTGATAACTCTGGTACCTAATGAAAAATATTCAGTTCCCAATAACAATAGAAGGTGATCTTTAAAATTTAAATTAGTCTTTTTCCCTTCCTCCCTCCCTCCCTCCCTTCCTTCCTTTTTTTCCATCAGCAGTGACAGTGACATTGCCTGGTGATTGGTGAAAAAAGATGTTGTTTAATAAACTACTTTCTAAAGGAATATATTACAACTGTTCTGCACCTGAAGTTTCTGGAATTGCAAGCCTGGCAGTCAAGGGTTATAATGATGCAAATGCAGAAAGCTCTGTTGAAACAGTAGTGTTGTTTTAGTTACACTGGTTTAAAGGAAAGCAAAGCGTGTATCCATACATTGAGTTATATTGTAAAGTCATTGTGGTTTTACTTAGGTATACTTGTATCAAAACCAAAGAGCATTGACAGAGATCTGCTATGAAAGCAGAACAAGAGAATAGCATTTTTGCTGTTAGAGATGTGCTGATGTTAGACAAGTAAGGGTGTCTTTTGCTTTATCTGACCAAAATGTGAGAGTAAGAAAAGCAGTGCCTGGCCTGGCTGCATCTGCCTCTAGTGAAGCTTCTGGCTAATACTGTACTTTAAGTGGTGAGAGGAGGACAGAACTGTCGCAGTGCAATTTCCCTGTGACTGCCCAGGTGAACAATATTAGCCAGGGAAAAGCTGAATTCATGCTTGGGGGCATGGGCTAAGCAGCAGCTGGGCTCAGGGAGAATTTTGCCTGGGGCTCACAGCATCAGCAGGTAGACCTCTTCTGATTGACATACTTGTGATAAAATCTTTCTTTACTAGATGGACAATTCATCTATTTTGGAAGGGAGATTGTGATGCTGCTTTCAGGGGTTTGAGTGGTGCTTTCTGCTGTGGTCAGATGTTAAAGCGGTTTAGGGTCCCCTCCAGCCAACCTGTTCTTTGGGGGAAAAAATCCAGAGTGCGCAAGTAGCACACAGGAGATGGATGTAGCAGCTGAAAATGAAGCAATTGTTACGGGTAATATTGCAAGGGGTTGCACAGTGCAGAAAAGAATTCCAAGGAACAAGAAAGTGGGTCAGAGCTCCCTTAAAAGACTCTCTGAAGTGCCAGGATGAGCAGGCTGCCCTTGTATATGGAGGAGGTTCATGGGGCTGCTGTACTCTTTATGGGAAAGGCAAACTGTACTCTTCCACTTCCTATTTTCATGAGTCTCCAAAAGATTTCCCAATGGAAGGTACCAGAGTAGGTACCATGCATTAACAGACTCTATGGAGAGTGTCATTATGCTAATTTTTGTCAAATATCCTTTGAAGTGTGATGGCTCTCTGGAGCCCTCCTGCCCCTCCTCTCTCCCCACATTGTTGTTTTAATAAATTACCTGTGTAGGTAAGGCTTGATCCTGACATACTGCTGCCTGGCAGTATCTTGAGCAGAGGTTTGAAAACTCTCAGGTTTTGAAGCAGTTCCATGTCTCCAGAGATTCTCAGTCTGGGCAATGTCCCTCTGTATAGAGTAATCTGATTTGAATTAATTCCCTGGTCATTTAAGGAATAATTTGTGTTGACATTAGCAAGAGATTGTGAGTAGGGAAGGCAGAAAGGCTCTCTCTGTTAAACCCCCACCTTCTCTTTGCACTGGCATTGGGACTTAAACATCACAGCCTAGCTGTTGTAGAATAACCAGTGTTGAATGGTAGGATGCAGCTCAGTTCCGTTTCATTGATACCTCTGGATGAATAGGTCAATACAATGATATCCTACTTGTTTTTGCTAATGGGTGAAGCAAATCAACTTGAAACTGGCTGACTGGTCTGCCAGTCAGTCCCCTTTTTACAGCAGGAGCCTTGTCTGAGTTCACTGCAAGAGACACAAGCACAGCGTAGCAGTGTTCCCTGGGGTCAAGGCTTCTGAGCGCGGTGAGCAACAGGAGAGAGGAGTTTGATTTTACTTACAGCAGGAAATTGGGAGAGTAAGAGACAGATCGTATGCAGCATGCTTCCTTGGGTGTCCAGGGAGCAAAACCAGTGTTTTTTAAATGCTAGATTTTGGCATCTTTTCCCATTTTGTGCCAGTGCAGATTAGCGAAAGCTCCCAGGGACTTGGAGCTCAGTGTGGTCTGCAGAGTCTGTGTGCGTTCATGTGAGTAACTGCAGAGTAGTCCCCTCTCTGTACCCATGCCCAGGAGGTACAGGCTGGTCAGCCAGATGGAGATGTCTTTTGACAGGCTGCTGGAGGGAAATACAAGCAATAGCATGTCTCGTTTTGCATCCCTTGCAGGCTGGACACACATGGCTTGACATTTGTCCAGAATCCAGCAGGACAGTCCGTCCTCAACCCTTCGTCACTTTTCAATGAAGCATACAACACAGAAAACTTTTGCCCTGAATTTACATTTTTTAATCTCAATCCCCCTTCCCCCATTTTTTGTGATCTCTGTACTCTTCTGACCAAACTTTATTGTTGTCCTCCTCCTTCTGTTGTCTACACATTGCTCCTCTTCCTACGCAGCACAGGAATATCCCAGCCTACTCTTAGTTCTTTCTAAGCCAGAACAGCATTAGCATTAGCATTGTGCTGGTGACAGGCATCTAACGTTCAATGAAGCAATGCTAAGCATCATTGAGAGTATGAACATATGCTATACAGAGCATTGCAGCCTTGCCTCTTCAGGCCTGGACCAAATATGCTCCATAGAACTACTCCATCTACCAGCCATAATGACTCTACTGTTATTCCCTACATGAAGTGTTGATTGCCCTGATGGTGTGAAATGCATGCATTAAATAAATTACTGCCGATCCCTTTCTCACTCTGACAGTGGCTAATATTTGGTTATTAAACTGTCTGCCTGAATGATTTAAGCCACTAATCTCAGCTCTTCGTCATGTTGGGGAAGCTTGTGTTAGTTAAGACCTCTGTTGTGTTTTGTACTAGCCACTTCAGTCCCTTCCTCCACAGCCCTTTTTGCTGGAAAGACCCATTCTCCATGGCCCGAAGAACACCATTTGAATGGGATGTCAGGAGCATCTGAGTTGAGTCCCTATCCAATGACATAGTCATTGATCTGCCTGGCAGTCATCATCTATAAACCAAGAATTCCTGTCATTGTTCAATTCACAGGTGACCTGCAGGATTATAGCTGTACAGTGCACTGCAGTATCGTGGGATAGGGTAATGTACAAGAACTTGCTCAATCCTTCCTGTCAGTCCTCTTGTGCATTCCCTTGGTTTATCTGAATGGAGAGTAGGCACTTCAAGCTTACATTTGCACTGCAAAAGTAAAAAAGCAAATGTCTTTCACTTCTCTTTCAGGCTTTAGACACTCAACAGAAGAGCTCATTTCTTTGCATTCATCCTATCTACTCCATCAGTACTGATATACTTCTTTGGCTTCACACAAGGCTCACCAGTGTTGAGTCAAATTCCTGAATAATAGGTCAATAGTTGCCTTGAAGGGCTGTGGATCTATATTAGTATATACTAGTATATCTCTGTCTTCTCAAATGGACATACCTTTAGGCTACACATGTTAAGGATATCTTATGCTGCTGCATCTGAAGATCTCTAATCCTGCTTTTCATTTTTGTGCTTTTTCTGTACAACATCCCTGTGGAGTCATATTTTTGGGTGCTTGGATCATCTTCCAGGATATTTCAAGAGGCTGCCTCAGTAGGTGATGCTCAATACCACACTGCAATTCTGTTCTGGTTGCCTCAGTAAAAACACTGCCCAGATGGGTGAGATGAGCCTTAAAATACTGATCATTCATGAGCAATGCTTCCTTGATAGCCTTCATGGGCAGGAGGAGATTAAAATCAACATCCAGCAAGGTCAAATTCCAGCAAGGAATTCCCAGGTCCAGGCTTATAATTTCTGTCTCCCCAAAGGCTGTGAGAAGGGCACAACAGGACTATATAAAGAGGAGAACTGCCAGACACTATTAATCTATCCGCTGCTTAAACTTACTTTAAGATAAAAAGGAGCTGATTGACATGAGGACATGAGGCAGAGCATACAGAAACCTCCTGTTCCCAGGGGAGACCTGCTTCGGCTGCTCTCCAGTGCAGGGCTGAAGCAAACTCCTTCCTCACTGCATCAATTGTAATGTCCCCTTCTTTTAGCCAGTATCATATTTTACAGGTGGTATGTTTTGCAGATATTATATTTGCCATGCAAAGCTACCGTTCCTGCTGATCCTTTGTCAGTCCTGGTGCTCAGGGGATGTTGTCAGGGAAAGGGGAGGGAAGAAAAAAGACCAGGACAGAAAAAGGGGAGCAAGACCTCTACAGGGACACACAGTAGAGCATGTATAGTCACAGCAGTGAGCTTGGGTGCTGGAATATTTGTCAAACTCCCTAGGATGTGATAGATAAAATGACATACCTCTCGGGGAACTGCAGCTTTCTCACTTTTGTGCTTTCTTCTTTCTCAAACGTGTCAGTCTGCTGCTATGTCTTCTCCTTTTCCTCCTGCAAAGAATTCCTGCTCCTTGCTCCCAAGTCCTCCACTTGCTCCCGCCACAGACCCCGTGAATTATGTAGGTATTAAGGAGGACACAGGTTTTGAAATATTTTTCTGTCTTCTAGGATACAGGAAGGGGAACAGCCCTAAAATATCTCTCATTCACTGCATTTGTCTACTCACTGAGATGCTCAAAGCCTTTGGCACTGAGATGCTCAATGCCTTTGGCACTCTGCTCTGCCGGCTTTGCCAGGGCTAATGTCACTTATTGCCCCAGGCTTGAACCCACAATTTGCACTGTTAATTGTTCTGCAGTGCTCATGGACAAGAGCCCTGGTTTTGTCCACAGCAGCAGTCTGAAAACCTGATCTCCTAAAAGGGCATTAATTAAGAAGTGGCAGGACAAGTTGGTATGATACAGCTATTTCTTGCCCTACTGGAGCTGACAGAAGCAGCAAGCATAGCTGAGATGGGATGCACCTATTTTAGTCACCGATTGCTGTGCTCTTTGTAACATGGACTGCCCATGGACTAGTTAGCAGTGCAGACCCCATTAACAAAGGAGCCTTGAGAAACATAGTATGGAGAGGTTTAGCCTTCAGTTTGGTCCTGTCTGACCTAATATCTTCTCTGCCTTTCACTTTGAGAATCTGGGCAGTTGGACATCTCCGCTGACTTATGCGCAGCCAGAAATAGCATTGTTAGTTGCTGTTCAACACCCAGGGCCTTTTCTTAGGGCTTGAGGCTCAGGACATACAGCTGAAAAATATCTCCATATTCCAAGTTATTACCACAAACAAGAGAAGCAGGAACAAGATTAGGACATACAAGGGAGAAAAAGGGCAGTGTTACATTACTGCTTCTCCTCCCATATTTAGTGTAGGCAAGAACAAAGCTTCTAGGGAGTTTATGATGGGTCCTGTGACATGGTCAGCCCCTGTCTCTAGTGGGTTTGGGCTTGAGCTTGCTGTGAATGTGTGAAAATGACCTGCACCAAGCATCTACTGTTGCTCCTTGGGGTCTGTCTCAGCTCCCATGCCCCCTGCCAGGAGAGACAGGAGGACAGCAGCTCTGCCGAGATCTCTCACAGCAAAGAAGACACATGGAGCCTCCAACCCACAGCATTGCAGCAGTTCAGGTCCTGCAACCCCCTGTTAGCCTTTCTCCATCCCTGCCAGGCACACATGTGCTTGCTCCTCTCATCCTTCTGGGGAGTCTGATCTTGCCAAGTGCATTCCCAATTCCATCAGTATTTTTAGACACTTGCTTGGAAATAACCAGTGTTGACTCAAGAGGTTTCCAGTCATGATGTACAAATACTCAGACCCTATAGAAAAAGACCAGGAAAAGTTAGAAATATATTACTGGGAAAGAAAAAAACAAAACCACAAACAACAAAACCACCAAAGCAAAACAACAAACCAAAATTTAGGAGCCAAATTTATCCCAAGGCTAAAGGAAAGAAAAGGGAATGTGTGAATCCTTCAGCTACTTCAACTCTACTGGTGCCATTCAGGGAAAGGAAATAAAATACAATAGCTGTGTCCATAAATACAGCCAGGCAGGGGTTTAAGAGGACACAGATTGCCTAATAAATCTTTCCTTATTTCTAATCTGTCCTGGCTGACTCAGATTACATTACTGCAATGTCACAATTGCTAAGCATTAGCAACCGGTAAGAACACTTTTACCCCCTACTAGACAAGTAGTAATTATGCCATGTCCTTTTCCCTCTTCCCTTTATTGTAGCTGTAACAGACTCTTCAAGATCCTTCCTCTTTTTAAATCTGAACTAAAAATATGTCACAAGGCAATAAAGCAAAGTGACAGAAAACATAGGAGACAAGTCTACAGATGTTTTATTAAAGGTTTTTCTTAATGACAGATAAGACATCACAGAGTGTTGCGTTAACATGCACAAGATGCTGTGGCAAAGAGACTGTATCATTGAAGCCTGATGTTTTCAAGAAGAACTTTACAAAGGTTAGATGCCCCAGTCTTAAAAAATAGCCTTTTGCTCTGGTAGCTAGTAAACCACTTTTTCAGAGTGACAGCAAAGGATGTTTGTCTTTGTGGCAGCTCACAAGAGTCCAGCTGATGTGACAGTGTAAGTTATGAACACATTCTGGGATCACAGACCTGGGGAGAAAAATCAAACGGTCCTTACTAGGCAGGGTTGGATGGAAAGATGTCTGTCCTGAGTTCAGCTTAACAGTTATTTTTCTCCTTCCTAGTAGCTGGTGCAGTACTGTGTTTCAGCTTTAGTCTGAGAACAATGCTGACAACACACTGACTTTTTTGGTTGTTGCTAAGTAATGCATACCCTCACCAAGGACTTTTCCGTCTCTCATGCTGTGCCAGTGAGGAGGGGCACAAGAAGCTGGGAGGAAGTAGAGACAGAACACCTGACCCAAACTAGCCAAAGGGGTATTCCATACCACAGCATGTCATGCCCACTATATAATGCGGGGGAGTCACCTGGAGGGCCCAGATCACTGCTCAGGTTGGGCTGGATATCAGTAGGCAGCGGGTGGTGAGCAGTTGTATTGTGCATCACCTGTGTTTGTTGTTTTTTTCCTTTCCCTTCTTAGTTTTATATTCTCTTAGTTCTTTATTTCCCTTATTAGTAGTAGTGGGTTTGTATTATACCTTAGTTACTGGACTGTTCTTATCTCAACTAGTGGGATTTACATTCTTTCAATTCTCCTCCCCATCCTGCCAGGAGCAGGGGGGGAAAGAGGAAGGTGAGCGAACGGCTGTGCAGTTTTGAGTTACTGTCTGGGCTAAACCACAGCAATGTCTATTAAAGAGACTGCTCCCCACCCTCTTTCTTCTCCTGCTGTAATTCCCACGTCTCTCTTGCAGATGGGCTGGCTGCTTTCCGTGCTTTCTTGAAGACGGAGTTCAGTGAGGAAAACTTGGAGTTCTGGCTTGCCTGTGAGGACTTCAAGAAGACCCGCTCAGCAGCCAAGCTGGCCTCAAAGGCTCAGCGGATCTTTGAGGAGTTCATTGATGTGCAGGCTCCTCGAGAGGTGGGTATGCCAGCACCCTGGGCAGGCACAGCATCCCTGTGGCACAAGAAGCAGGTTCACTTCCCCCAACAGGGACTTGCAGGGTGCCGGGGAGCTCTCCCTCTCCTCCCAGAGGTGATGGTGAGGAAAGGATAAGAAGGATGGGAATGCCATCCTTCTGCTATAACTGCCTCTGCTCACCATGACTCATCCCATGGTGAGGGCAGCCACTCTGATGATGCTAAATTAGTCACAGCCAGTGAGTTCACTGGCAACCGCAACCTACATTTCATAACCTCTATGAGCTTCCTAGGAGTATTTCACCTTGCTCCTCTCATTTACTATCAATCCCTGAGCAGGCTATTGGGCTCATTTCTTGCAGGACATTTTGCACAGAAGCATCCCACAAATGACTAACTTGTTGACTCTCTGGGGAAGGGTACTTACCTGCTGACTAACTCCCAACTCAACTAGACCTCCTAAAAGATGGATCAGTAACTCAGCTGAACAAAAAGTGCAGTAACAGCCCGAAGGTTGGAGTTAAGTCCTCTTTCAAGTACTGTCAGTCTATGTGACTGTCAGATCCTGCATCGTGATGTTGGGCTGTGTTACTGTATTCATAACACAGCCAGGAGGGTGATTACTGCACCTGCTCTCTCACGGTGGTCCTCTGGTAGACTGCATGGGTGCTTGTCACAGCACACATGCCTGTGAGGGGATCCCTGTATAAGGGCTCTCTTTACTCCATCTTTGAACTAGAAAGGCTATTGCAAGGCCATGGAGAAGCACCCACAGCAAGGGGATGTGGGTGTCTAGGGACACGCTTCAATCCCCATCACCCTCAGTGAGCATCTTCCTGCTGTTACTCCTGAAGCTGGGTGAGATTTTCAGGATTGCAGGGCTGAATCTGGATTAGAAATGTGAGTGCAGGTTGGATGAGGTCTTTCCTAAAATTTGGTCCTGTTTTCATTATTTTGGCATGCTGGAATGTGAAATGACCCTTAAGTGATACAGAGAGTTAATCTATATAGATGTGATCTGAGCTAAGACAGACAGCTTTACTTTTTAGACGCCTTGAAGACTGGACACTGGGTTAATAACAACAAATAACATATTTTCACCCAAGTTTTATACCATAACCATAACAAATGCTGACTGCTTCAACAGGGAAAGAAAACAGGAAAACTGACATTGTTGGCTTTGCAAACAAACAGCAGTCATAACATGAGGGCGGTTTATTTTACCAAGTCCTCACTTGAGATATTGTAACATGAAGCTGTTACAGGAAAAATCAAACAATCCATAACAATGAAGTTTAAAATTATTTAGTAAGAATGTAGTAATAGTATAAACCCACCTAAAAGTTCAGCCACCCTTATATTGGGCTGTACTGAAGAATAAAGGGACCAGAGAAATCTTGATCAACAGGAGAGAGGTTAGGCTGAGTCAGCATTTTTAGAAGATCTGCTACATAGAATAGAATCATAGAATCATAGAATAGTTAGGGTTGGAAAGGACCTTAAGATCATCAAGTTCCAACCCCCCTGCCATGGGCAGGGACACCTCGCACTAAATCATGTCACCCAAGGCCTCGTCCAACCTGGTCTTGAACACTGCCAGGGATGGAGCATTCACAACCTCCTTGGGCAACCCATTCCAGTGCCTCACCACCCTAACAGGAAAGAATTTCCTCCTTATAGCCAATCTAAACTTCCCCTGTTTAAGTTTGAACCCATTACCCCTTGTCCTATCACTACAGTCCCTAATGAAGAGTCCCTCCCCAGCATTCCTATAGGCCCCCTTCAGATACTGGAAGGCTGCTGTGAGGTCTCCATGCAGCCTTCTCTTCTCCAGGCTGAACAGCCCCAACTTTCTCAGCTGATCTTCATACGGGAGGTGCTCCAGTCCCCTGATCATCCTCGTGGCCCTCCTCTGGACTTGTTCCAACAGTTCCATGTCCTTTTTATGTTGAGGACACCAGAACTGTACAAAATACTCCAGGTGAGGTCTCACGAGAGCAGAATAAAGGGGCCTGCTTAAGAGCCTGAATAAAAGTAATTTGATTTCAGAAGTCCTCAGGTCACTGTAAATCTCATTCAGCTTTTCCAAATTTGGGGCAGGATTTATATGTTGGACTGCTAAACCCCTCAGAGTTCAGCAGGCTGTTTAGGCATGGATGAGAGAGGACGTTAGTTCTGTTACTGCTTTTACAGCCATAGATGAGACAAATGTGCCATTTGAAGGAGGCAAACCGGTCACTCGGTACCAAACTCTCTTCTGCTACTTTTCCCAGGTGAACATAGACTTCCAGACACGGGAGCTGACAAGAAGAAATATGCAGGAGCCCTCCCTCTCTTGCTTTGACCAAGCCCAGGGGAAGGTGCACAGCCTGATGGAGAAAGACTCTTACCCCAGGTTCCTGAGGTCCAAAATTTACACAGACCTGCTGTCTCAAACCCAGAGGAGGCTCAGTTAAAGCAGCGATGGGGCCCTGAGAAACCATGTGCTTCCCACAACAGCGAGAAACCATGTCTAAATGTGAAACTTTTTGGTGTGGGAATGAGAAAAGAGGGAGAAAGGGAAGAAGAGATTCCAGAGTGTGATCCAGATGTGGTATTAGGACTCTTTCTGTGCTTTTTTTTTGGTTAGTGGTAGCACCTTGCAGTTGTTGCCCCTCTAGCACAAACCCATAAACCTTTCTAGTCATGGGGTCATCTGTTGGGAAGTTTCCTTTGAAATTACTATGCTGGTTTGTGTGTAAATAATGCCATTGCACCTTTCCATCCTTCCAGACCTCTCCCTGGCTCTCACCTCTCCCCTGTGTTTGGAAGGGCCCTAAGGGCAGTTGCGAAATGTGTGAAGCCAAGTCCAGTCTGAAGCATTGTCTCCCACGCTGGCTGCTGGGGTCTGAATCCAGGGACCATGAGGAGGGGGAGAGAAGACAAAGGCACATGATTCATGCTGCTTCCCAGAGTGGAAACCATCAATGAACTCAGCTCACCTTCCCATTTTGATTGCACACCTTGTAACACCAGCTGCTATCCTGTCACAGCCCCTTATCTCCCAGGGATGGAGATTAAGAGTTATTTTCCATACAACTGTCAAGGAGCTATTTTTTTTTTTTCATGAGGAATGTATCCCAAAAGCTCTCACTAGACCTGGTCAGGCAAGTCTTCTAGGGAAAATGACTGGTTTTCATTAATAGCATTTATTTGTGCTGTAGTTCAGCCTCAGGACCCCTGTCATCATTCAGACTGTATTGTGCTAGGCACTGCCCCAAAACCTAAGACAAAGAGGTTCCTAGCCACCATTACATTAACAGGCTTGGTGGGTTCTCAAGAATGACCTGCCATTAGGAAAGAGTTGAGAGAAGGACTGTCCCATCTGCCCCATGCTGAGATGTACAAAGAGCACAAGACCTGTCTTCTATGGCAGATAGCATTGTTCATGTAGTATCTGTAGGGAGATACTACATCTGCATAGCAGGGAGAGATAACATGAAAAATCACAATTACATTTTTGTCATTTGCTGATCATTGACTGTAGTTGTTACCTACCAGTTGTCCACTGTGGGTTCAATACCATGTAAAGATCTGCTGAAACAGAGACTTCTCTGCATGGTGCTTGCTTAAAAACAGGACACAGGGAAACATGCAGTGAGCAGGATGAGTGTCTGTGTGTGAAGTGATGTGTGAAGTGTTCTTTGGCCCTTCTCCCATAGCCTGGATAGACAGCTGTGGGAGAAGGCTATGTGCAGATGCCAGTTGTGTAGCACCTCCTCTGTGCTGTGCAATAATACCATCTGAAGGCCCCATTTCTACGGCATTGCTGTTCTAGCTTATCAGATGCCAGATTCTTGCAATATTTTCTAGTGGAGAAGCAGACAGCCTGTCCGTGCATTTGAGCCTACAGACCAGAGGTTTATTTACTTAGTTTTATGAAGGCCTGGAGAGTGACCCCTTGGATCTTTTCCTTCTCAAGCATCCACAGATCAGAGGCTGTAGACCTGCTCTAGTTGAGGGTGGTGGGTAGGTTTGATACATCAGAAAGCTGGTGATACTTAGTGTAATGTGGTGTAAACAAGGTAGAATGAATTCTGAAGTTAAGCATAATGTGTATGGAAGAAGATACAAAAACCTGCTTGGATAGGATATTAAAGCCTGCTTTAGGTAGGAAACAGGTTTTGAGGCTTTTTGTAATGATACTGTGCAGGACATTAGGACAAATAAGTTTAGAAACAAGATAGAGGTGGTAAACATACTTGTTTATTTTGGAGGTGTATTCCTGTGGTTTCTATGACACTAAAGTCTAAGTTCAGTGCAAGTGCAAGATTTATGTCAGTAGGGAAACCTGCTTTTCAGTACCTGCTTGGCCATCTCTAGAATTCTCCAGTTCTTTGGTAGGCAAATACCATCTCCAGTTACCTTGTTCTGAGGACTGGCCAGAAAGAACAGCAGGCTCTGGCATCCTGAGCCAGTGTTCCTGGCTGTCCTCTGCCCCTGCAAGGTAACCTGAGAAGCAGGGTCTGAAGCATGTTGAGAGATGTAGCATTCTGCAGCCATGCTCAATGGCACAACTGAAACTGTTGAGGTACGTGAGGTCCATAATGCCGTGTGTTCAGAGAGACAAAGCTCCAGATCTGGACATTACTTTGAAAATTTCACTGTGGCGGCTCCATGCAAACTTCTTTGCAGGCAATGAGCAAGGTCTGGAAAATGCCCCAGATTTGCCATGATTCATTCAAGGGGTCTACATCATGCAGCAGCTCAACTGGCCACCTGTTCACAGGCCCATAGCTTTATGGCAAACAAGGTACCTTGCAAACAGGTCTAGTGGTACAGGTGTCTGGGGAAACCTGTGCAATGCTTTGGAAGAAGTCAAAGGCAGAAGCAAAGGATATAGAGGCAAGCATCCAGCGGCTGTCCCTGATGATATCTGGACTATAGGAGGTGGAACAGAGTCACATCATTTATACATATAACCTCCTGTTACAGGTGAAAGGAAAAGAGGTGGGCAAACCACCCCACATTGAGGTGAAACAATGCTTGACATGCAAGAGAGGATGCAAAGCCACTGAATGTGAGGAGGGACTAGAAGAACTCACCAAGGAACACTATGTCTGCTACACCTGTATAACACAGGCTGTACTGGGATCTCTCAGGGGTACAGGTTGCTTTGGCTGAAATATTTCCCCCTGAGATACCTCCTGGTGCCAGTTGTAACCAGTGTCAGTGTGACCACGAAATGGCACAGTGACTGGTGATCCAACCACTGCAACACAGCAGCTCAGCTTCCCAATGCTGTGGTGTCAAACAAGTTGTGTTGCAAGGGATGAAGGAAAGGCCCTGCTTTCCTCCATTTCAGCCTCCTCTTGATTGCAGAGAATGCAAAAAGCATTCCAGTGCTGCCCTGGATGTAGGGGACAGCTGCAGCAGGCTTATGCAAGTCACTGCTTTTAAAGAGAAGGCAGAAACATCATGTTAAGTGCTTTATGGCATTCTTAAAGCCACTGATACGTCTTCTGGGTGGGCTTTGACGTTGCTGACCTCTAGTGCCAGCTGATGCATCCCAGAAGAGGTTTTTCAGCAACGTGGGCTTGAGCCACCCATGATGGTGAGGGTCACAGAAAAAGAAGGTGATGAGGAAACAGCAGAAATAAGATATTTGTGTCAAGGAATGAGGAACAGAAACTCAGAAGTGAGGCTTCCCTGATGGCTACAAAGGCTGGTTCTGTTCAGAGTGTGACTTCAGAAGCCCAGGAGGTAACATTTCTCAGCAAGCTCCTCCAGTGTTGGTGCTGTCATCCTTTCAGTTAATGACTGAACTTGTGGAAAAACTTTAAAGTAACCAACATCCTATAAAAACCAAGCTCCCCTCTCTCCCCATCCACCAGAGGAATAGCTTTGAGCAGGTTTATTCAGAGATGCAGTTGCTGAGAGACAGGAACTCTATCATGCTGGCTGATAGAAGTGTTTTTCCCATTAAATTGGTGCCAGATAATATCCTCCATGGCAAATTTCCTATAAGCATAGAGTAGACCAAACGGATTGTCTGATGCACATGAGTCTATCGTCGTTATTTTTGTTGCTTCTCTTACAGTTTGTATTTCTTGAAGGAAAGCAAACTAGTTATTTAAAGTTGGTTTGGTTGGGTGTTTTTTTTTTTAAACCAAGAAATTGGCACCAGCTGCTTCTTTCATGCCAAATGTCAGTCTGAAGTGAATTAAAATAGGCAGCTATAGCTCTTCCCCTTAAACCAGGAGAAATTAAGGAAATAATGACTGAGCCAAAGCTTCAGAAAGCACTGAGTGATGACTAATTCCCTTCAAGGACAAATATCCTATCTTTGATTCATCTCTTAACTGATGTGAACGGGATATTCATGACTTACAAACCCTATTTCCCCTCTCCACAAGCACACACCTCCAACATTTTCTTCCTGTTCCAAGTCATGTCAGTGTATGCCATCACATGAAGAGAGGAAAAATAATTGTTTTGCTCAGCTCTTTTTATTCTGTGTGTTTGCTGGCATGTATCCAGTCAGTTCCCAAGTCCTTTGACAGCAAAAGGGAAGAAGTGTTTAGAGATTGTCTATAAGCTTCAGGTGTTCTTAATTCCAGAAGCAGATGCAGAACCCCAGTCTGCTTTGACTTTCTCCTACTTCGGTCCACCAGCCAGGTTTGGGACAATTTCCATCGCTTTTACTGGACTTGTTAATGTACCAATGGGTTCCTGCCTTCCACGCTGGGAAGGTGTGAAGGGCAAAGTTCTGCTAGTCTAAGCAGGAGGTGGACATAAGTGTGTGTGTCTGCAGGTGTGGGTGGGTGAGAGTGCATGTGACTTCAAGTGTATGTTATTTAGTGTCTCCTACTAGAGAAGCTTTTCCAAGACATAGATGTGCATGTTAAAATAGGACAATTAGGCATAAATAACACAAAAGAAGATTTTTAGCCCAGTGTTGTGTTTGCCTTGTGTGTATGTTTGACTAGTAATAAGAGATGTAAAACTCTGTTAGGCTTCCAGTTACCCATAAGAGCACATGTATCAAACTGAACTGAATGTTCACTGATAGACACAAAACCAAAATGTTTACAGCATTCAGAGCAATAGCAAACCATACCTCATGCCAGTCCTGGAGTGCCTCTCACCCGCTAGTGCAAGCTTTCCCTTCCCTGGGGGCCTCTTGCTTCTCCCTCCAGACTCTTCTCTCCCTTTCAGTCCTGTCTACATGGTCTTCCTTCTTCCTTCCTCTTAGAGTTTACTCCCTGAAGCACTCCTGTTCATGCAAACCTTTCTCTCCGCCAGCACTGTTTGCCTCCATTCATCTGAGCTTGAATCTCACATAACCTCCTCCCATGCCTCCCTGTTTGCATACCCTCCATCCCCATCTATCCCTCCACTCTCCTTTGCCTTTTACTTCCCGAGACACTTGTCTCTGATCTTGCCATCTCTCTCCTACATACCTCCTGCTGTCACTATGAAGCTCCTAATAACTATTCCTTTCCCATTATATAAGAAGAAATTGCTTCACACAGTTTCTACATTATCTTTCATTCCTGGGGCTGCTGTCTTCTTCCTTGATACTGTTTTCTCTGGCATCAAAGCATTATATCACAGAACTGGAATTAAAGTACGTTTTGCTGCTAGACCAGAATGCTTTTCTCTACCACACACCCCTTGGGCTTTGCAGAGGCTTGTCTTGTCCCTGGAATGGTGTCTTCCAGCTATGCTCCATGTGTTGCACTTGTGGCAGGGGCTGACTAGTTGAGACAGCAGCTGCTTCAACAAGGTCAATGCTGTGCTTCCTCTTGGCTTTCTGATGTAAAAAAGAGTGTAAATAAAGGGGTGTGTGTTGTATTTACTTAGTAAAGTCAGTCGTTCTGCTCTGTGCCTCCTCTTGGTTTTACTGGAGGGCTGTATCTCTAATCTGACACTGCAGTAAACTCAACTGGCGTTCAGGGAACTGAGGGCATAGCAAAAGGGGATGAGCTTATAATTGAAAAAAAATAAAATCAACATTTCTGGTAAAAAGGCACAGAAGAAGAAAAGGCAGTGCCTGCCCCTGGAGGGACCTGGCATGTCAGAAAGGTATGGGGACCAAGTGCAGCATGAACTATTTGTCCCCCCAACTCCTAGTTTGCATCTTGTGCTACATGCCCCAGGCTGGGTGTAAAACGTGACAGATGAGAGCTGCTCATCTTTGCATTTACAGCATAGATAATGGTGTTCATCCTAAGATAAATGTCTTCACATTGTTCTATCAGTGCCTGCAGTCACCAGCTAAAAAACAGCAAGGGGAAGGAGGCATCTTGTGTCATGTTTATTTACGCAGACCTCTGTAATGAAGAGATCAGGGTACAAGTACACCCTTGGGTAGATCCCCCTTCCTCAAAAACCATGATTGAAGTATCTTGTCTTCCTATACCCTCTCTCCCGCTTCTTCTACAAGCAACCCAAATCAGACATGCACAGTTCAGACTTTTCTTTAAGCTCTCAGGCACCTCCATCTTTAGTGGGCTGGCAGTGTCCCATCGGCCAGAAGGGGCCCTCAGGCCCAGACTCCAAACCCAACAGCATCAAATAAGGGTGTCTAAGATAATAAAGATGTCTTTTTTCTTAGGAAACATGCTTGTGGGTGGTTCAGAAGAGATTTAGGAGGGCATTACTCCATAGAGTAAACTCAGAGGAGAACCACCAGGTACCTGAGTAAAAAGACCAGCTTTTTTAAGACCTCTAAACCACATTTTAATTTTAATTAGGTCCTGATGCTGTAATTGCCTCCAAAGTGTCTGAGTGCTGCTGGTACTGGTAGATAACAGCAGGAGCTGTTTGAGCAGGACATGTGGGCTGTTTAATCTGATTCCTTCCCATTCAGGGAAAAGGCACTGGCTTGGGTTCAGTTTGACCTTCCCTCTGCATTAGCTGCTTGTTTCTAGGCTCACCTTCCCCTACAAGGCTGGAGAAGCTCCTCAGCCATACCAGATGTCCAACTGGCCATGACATTTCCACTGAGTCTTGTCACCACATTGTAAAGTGTTATTCACCTGTACTGTATAGAGACCACGAGGACGTAATAAAACAGCCTGAGACTACTTGCTCTGTGCCTCAGTGTCTGAGCACATTTTCGTGTCTGAAGAGGAAAGTGGGAACTGCAAGCCTAGGGATGGAGAGCTGTCTCCTAGGAGAATTGTTGAGGAGGAAAAGGATGGGAGAACTTTGTGTCTCCTTGGACCCTGCCCTCATCTTTCTGTGTGCTGGTTTCACCCGTGCAGACATTCTGGATGGGGCAGTGAAGGGATGTGTTAACCCTAAGCAGTCAGCGTTCTCTGTTGAAGCAATTTACGTCTCCCTAAATGTATGGTTTAGGGAGGTAAGTCCAAACTATTGTCAATAGGATATAGACCACTACAAGGAAGAGAAATCTGAACAGACTTCAGGCCTGTGAGTCAGCCAGCAGTAAAGACCGGGGTGAGGGCTGGCAGTGGGATGGGGGCAAACAAGGAATGGGAAAGGCAAGGGCCAGCTCAGCAAGCAGTGAGAGTGCAAATGGGGACCAGAGCACACATGAGCTGCAGAAGTCAGAGCAACTCAGTGAGTCCCAAGGGCCAATTGAGGGAGTCTGGAGGAGCCTGGGCTTGCAGGGGAAGGGGTAGGCAGCAGCTGAGAGCAATCCTGGGTGCTAGAGCAGGAAGGGGAGGCGTTAGCAGGGGCAGAGATTGGAGTGAGGACAGCTGGGGAGGTTGGTTGTGTGTTAGAAAATCGTGTAGAGGGAGATTTGCTGTTGAGTGAGGCTGCAAAAACTCCATGGAGGCTGCTGCCCACCTGGAGAGAGGGCATCAGTGAGGGAGGGTTGGGCCACACAGAACATCTTCCGAGCAGGTCTGGTAAGTGAAGGCAAGCAGTAACGTGGATCTTGCCTGGCCCTGGGTACAACAACAGTACTCCTCATTTGGTGCACAGCCCACTGTCCTTGCCAAAAGGTGAGTGTTCACTGCATGATCTGCACAGGGTTGTGTTTAATAGCAAAATTCAAATGTGCTTGCTTTTCTCTGGAAATTGGTGCAGTGGAATTTATCAGTACCTTTGTCTTCTTTCTACCCCCCTTCTTTTTGCCCTAATTCCCTTCCTTTCTTTTATTGCTTTTTCTTTTCATCTGCTGCTTCTTCTCTCTAAGCCTGTCCCTGAGCCAAAGCAATTTGCATGCATCCAGGGAAGGATCTGCCATTAGTGCTGCTCTGTCTCTCCTCTTAGTTAGGATATATTTAGCTATCGCCTTTCTTGTTTGATTTTGGTTTGGGGTTGTTTTTTTTTTTGCTGTTCAGTGCCTTTAAAGAGCAGGTGCTGGGAACAGAAAAAGAAGATTAAAAATACCTGCTGTCAGATACCTCTCCCTACGCAGATGTGCTCTGGTGCTGTGCAAAGCGAGCACGTGAGCAGAGTGGATAACAGCTGCCCCTTGAAAAGCTCATTTGTAATTCTAATTCTTTTTTATTTCAGTAATCTCTTTCCGCACTGCTACAGATTTCCCGAGCAGTTATTTCCTCTCATGCTTCATGTGAACACAGCGTGTGCTTTTGCTGGGAATCAATTAAAAGCCCCATGGGGTAGGGTGAGGGCTTGTTGTTGCACAGGAGCTGCCGAGCAACAAGCGCTGCTGCCTGTCCTGCAATGCACGGGTGTTATCCAGGGTGGGGAGACGCAGATGGAGCAATGCTTGCCTGCAACCACATGGACATTGGCATCCCACAGCAGCCCCTGACTGTCCCTGTCTCACAAGCTGTGTCCGTAGCCAAGACCCAGCTGCAGTGTGGCTCCCTGGGGAACCCTTGCAAACACTCTGCTGCTGTCACAGTCTCAGCAGTTTCCCCACTACTCTCAGGCACTATTGCCAGCTTCCAAGCAATGCCGCAGTCCTGCCTGCACAGCAATAACCTCTCATCACAGGTAATCCCTTGCCAACACCCCTTTCCCCATCTCTTTTGCCTACACCTCTCCTTACACAAGTAGAGCTTAACAACAGGCTGCTGCATGAGCAGAGCCTTTAGATTTGTCTTTTCTACTACTTCACATTCAGCAGCAAACTGATTTCCTGCAGACAGCCCCAGGGGACTTGTCAGCTTCTGGCATTCTCCACTGAAGCAATACAGGGAGCACACAATGATGCCTTCAGGTTTTACCCATGAGGTTCCCCACCAGTTTAGGATAAATCAGGTGTCAGGCTTCACAGTGAGCTTGCCTGGCCCACATCTGTGATGCAGCAAGATGACAGCACCATCGTTTGGCCTAGCTCCCTGCCCCTCTTCTCTTCCCATCCATTGCTGTACCTTCCCCTTCCTATTCCACTCAAACTATGTAAACATACAAAAATACCTGGTACTAGAAACTCCTCTCAATGCGTGGCTGTGCATTGGGGCACATCTGCAAGGGCACTTTTCACCCTGACACCTGTCCCTCCTTGTTTCCCTGCTACTGCCTCATTTGTTTAGCTTTTGGGGCTGAAAATTTTATTTTCTCATTTTTCAAGGTTGCCCACTCACAGCAACAATACCTGATGCTGAGAGGTTTTGTGTTTTGCTTCTGATGTGGAAGCCATAGCTGTACCTCTGCAAACATTGGTGTACCTGCCCAGTTTCCCTGGTGGAAATGAAACTCTGAGAGGACTGGTCCCCATGGATGGGAGGTGGGCTTCATGCTGGCACAGCTGCAGCATGGTTACAGGAAAGGAGCCGTGTCCCAGGCGTTGCGACACTGATGAGGTTTCATGTTCCAAAACAAGGACTGATAATACAGGCAACTGAGCTGGGGCTGCAGGAGGCTGCTACGCTAAATGAGACAGGAAGCACGTAATTAAATTAGATATAGAGTGGCATAAAGACATCTGAGTACACATACACTGTTGGGCTCAGAGGCTATTGCATAACCCTACTGAAGAGCTCTGTGTTACAAAATGCTGTACCTACTGCATCTCGTGCTGGCAAGATGCTTATCCTTGAACAGCATCTTCCACCCTACCAAAGGGGAAAGTTAAACAACCTGCCCAAGAGAGCAGAGGTTGTACAGGGAGCTGGTGGCTGTAGGAGAGCTGTCACAGGGTCTGTCCTGGCCTTGGCATAGAGGATATTGCTGAACAGCCTGATCTCATTCCTGCACCTAGGCTCAGACCTGTACGCATGGTACTAGCACTGTGTCATGTCCCAGAGCCACACACCAGTTTGAACATCTAAGTGTGGGACTCCATCTTTTCCTATGGCTTTGTGTATCTCTGGCTGAGTAGATGCAGTGCCCTTGACTCCCTCTCACTGAGGTTTTACAGGGGTGTCTATAAAATGGGAGGTTGCAGGGACCAAGCTTGCACCACAGACTTTTCCTCACTTGTGCCTTACCAGCAGCATTGCTTCACCTGAGCCAAGTGCTTCAAAAGCTGTTGCAGATGGGACAAGGTAAAATCATATATGCACTTGCCCAACATGCTTTATTGATATGGAATAAAGCAGTGGGGAGACAAGATCTGAAATAGAGGCTTCAGCAGACTTTAATGCCAAGGCAGAAGTGTTCAGAGTTTCTCCACTCTGGCTCACATCACCCATGCTCCTCTTTCATTGGCTCCAGCTGTTGCTGCCATCCCAGCTGCTAGAAGTTGTCTGTCCTGTGTATCTGTAACATGTGCCCAGCCTCCTGAAGGTTTTCCTCTCAGTATAAGTTTCTTGGGGGATGCCTCAGACATTGGGGAGAATCACCACAGCATCCTGTGACTTTGCTGTCTATAAGTGGGAGAATGGACTTCAGCGTGTGAGCACGATTTTAAAGGCAAAAAGGACACACATGGAGTCCTGCTTAACACCAGGCATGCCCCAAAATGATGAGACAAAACAACACGAGGGCATCACTGAGCACTGCATCTGTGCAGAATGGGTGGGTGGTGGAGATTCAAGTGATGGAGGAGAAGGGATGTTACCACCCCAGGTAGCCAAACGCCACAGCTGGGAGATGAGTGCAAAGGGTATGTGTGTATGGCCAGTGCCAAAATAGCTGAGTGTGAACCTTTCCTGTGGATATCAGGAGCCTGTACCCATGTCAGCATGGCGCTGCTGCTGTGACACCAGTGCTCCCAGCATGGCAGTGAGCTGGGATACACCACCAGTCTTATGTGGCCAAGCACTTCCAAAACCCATGTTAGACCAAGTGATGTCCATGGTGCAAGCCTGATGTTGGCATGGGGGACTTCTTGGCTGTCATGGAGCTCTCTGCTTGTTGCACCACACCTTGTGGTTTGTTGGTGTGCACTGTCTCACACGGGCTTAACTCTTTCTCTTCATCCTTCTGTTCTGCCATTCCAGTCTTTCCCTTCCAATTTTTTCCTCTCCCTTGTTTTTAGCCTCTTTTTTCCATCCTTAGTTCTCATTAGGATCCACCTTTATCAGATGCTTTCCCATGCTTGGCTCTAACTGTCTTTGATGTGCATCCCCTCCCTTTATTTCTTCCCACCCCAGACCAAGCAGAGAGTTTGTGACGAACTGCAACTTCTGCCAGTACATGGGATCAGACATCAGTCCTTATGTATTCCAGCTGTGGACCAGCAGTGTAATCTGGGGGGACAGGAAACACTACACCCTTGTGCTCTATCAGCAGTTCAATGGCAGGTGTACTGCATTACCCTGGGGAGTGCAAACCCTTCCACCAGGCTTTGCACATGCCCTTGGGATGCTGTAAAGCAGCCTGACTCTGATGGGGACCAGCATCCCCCGCTTACACCAGCTGGGGAAAAGCATGCTGCTGCAGTGCCACCAACGCCAGCCCTTGCAGCGCTGGGAGGATCGGAAGTCCTCGTGCCACAGAACGGAGCTGACGAACTGGTGTGAATTACAGCATCTGTCCTGTCCCTCTCACTCTCCCCATCTGCGTACTCACCCGCTGGCAGTTACTCAGCAGGCTCCACATGTCGGTGGAAACCAGCCTGTTTTTTCCTGTTATCGAGGAAGCAGTTATGACTGTGATGCTCAAGGACAAGCCTGGGCCTCCCACTCCCCCTCCCTTAACAGCACAAAAGAAACCTACCTAAGCTGTTATCTTCACTGGGCTCTGCTATAGCAGGTTTTGGTTGGCTGGAGGCTGGAGCGATGCTGGGCCCCCCTCCCAGCTCTCCCACCTCCAACCTGATATAAAGCACAGCTCACTGCTGCTTTTCCAGCCGACAGCACATGACTGGGCGCAGGTGGTGCCACAGCTGCCTGTTGCACACCACTGCCACCACCATAAGGACCCAATGAGTTGCTGGATGCCTGGGTGCCCAGCTTTCAGCATGTGCCAGGGGTTAGCTGCGCTCCCCATCACTTGCCTGGAAAGGTAAGGGCCTTCACCACGCTGCAATTCTGGGATGCAGAGGGTTACTTGGAAAAGATGCACCTAACTTAGAAGTGGCTGGACCAGCATCTGCTGCTGTGGCCATGACGTTTTGGCAGAAACTGGGGTGCAGACTGCAAGGAAACGCAGTGAAGGAAGGCCTGACAGATTTGGTTTGGCTGTATCTGTTCTGCTTCCCAGGAGGGGAATATAGAGGTAAAACACGAAGAGGGAGAGGAGGCTGGATGGGGCTGCCCTGTTTGTGTCCAGGTGTACAAGCACACAAGGGTTGTTTCTCTGGCTGGATTCCTGCAGAACTTGCTTCAAGGTGACAGCAGCAGGACTATTTTCATGAACACAGTCGAAACGTTAAGTGACAAGCTGCTCCTCCTGCCAAACATGGCTACGAAGCCCCATGCTGCCGGCTTGACTTTATGAACGCCTTGGGATGCCTGAATGAGCTGCGGCACACAAATAGCAGCAGGGCCCTGTGCTGCCTGGGGAGGGACCCAAGGGAGAGGAGTCGATTTAGCAGCAGCTCCTACTGTATTGCTGTAAAGACCTCCCGGTAGGGAGGTGCTTCTGTGCCACTACCACAGAGCTGCAGTAACAGGCAGTAGCATCCCAGCCTCTTACAAAGGAGCTCTGGCACAGGAGCATCGTGCTGCTACTGGCCTCGCTGGGTCTCAAAGGCATGGGGTAGGTGGATGGTACCACTGGGGAGCACAGACATCCCCATGGCAAGCTCCTAGTGATGCAGGGGCACCCCCCCAGAAAAGCAGGGGATCATCAGCCCTGCTGCAGCAGCCTTTCAGCAGGGAGATGCTCCTATTCTGCTACGCAGAAAGCAATCACCGTGTTTTCCCAGTGTTTTGAGAGCAGCATAGCACTGCTCGGAGAGGGGGGTGGGAAAAGGGGCCAGGTTAGCTCCAGGAGGATGAGGGGGTCCAGCTGGTTACTCAGCAGCTGCTCCTGTCCCAGAGGAAAAAGCTCAATGTGCTTTATAAATGCATGCGACACTACCTGAGAAGAGAGCAGCAGGAAACAGTCCCCTGGGCTGTATGCACTGCTGAGTGTGGTTGCCAGGGAGCAGAAAAGCAATGGGAGAAGCTTTTATTTCATACATCACAAGGCAAAAAAGCAGCTGAAACTAAGGAGTGAGGGCTGCCCGTCTGAGCTGTGTTGGGTTTGTGGTGTTCAGCCCCTGCAAAGCAGGAGCTGGGCAGCAGTGTCGGGTAGTCCAACAATCCTACTTCTCCTCTTCCTTCCAGAGCCAAGGACCTGAAGACCCGCTTAGGGATCCTGCTTCATAAATCAGACCTGGGACACAGGACTGGCACCTCCAGCAAGCTGCAGCTGGGCTCCAGGCAGAGGTAAGCCAAGCAGTGCCATGTCCTAGCTTCAGCCTGCGAGAGGTCTCTGTGGACCAGGCTGTGCTGGGGGATGCTCCTGCCCATCTGCGCAATGGAGAGAAGAAAGCACAGCTCGCCCTCCCCACAGTCCCACCCTGGCAGGCAGGGAAGGCGGATCGTTTCCGAGCTTCACCAGTTATAAAATCAGACAGGGGAACTGATGCTCCTGCATTAGGCACAGGAGAGCAGGGCCTCAGCAATAGGCAAGAAACCTGGAGGGCTCCCACATTTTCTGGCATCTCATACTAGTGCCTGGGACCCCTGAGGAATGAAGGCAGCATTAAAAACAAAATACTAAATATTGCTGTTGAAGGCGGGGTATCATCTTGCAGAGGAGGCTCTGCTGTGCCAGCAGAAAAGAGCTCTTCTGCATATCCTTTAGAGAAGATATTTGGCCACAGCTGCACTATGGAGCTGAGGTCTGGTGAGCCATCAGGGAAGTTAAAAGAAAGGGAGAAAGGAAAGAGAGCCCACAGGTAATGGATGCTGGATTCTCACTTTGGTTTCCTACTGAGTGCTGCTGCCTCCCTTCTTGCACTGTCTCCTATTAACTGGGCTGCTTGACTGAACTCCTCTCATCCTTCACCATGGGGCAGAAGATGTGTTGTTGGCGGCACAGTGAGCCTTACATCATTTTGTCTTTTTCAGAGATTCTTCACGAGAAGTACTTGAATGGAGGGAGTCCTTCGACCAACTCCTGAAGAGTAAAAGTAAGTAGGATCTTGTGTTCTTCTCTTGGTGAGAGCCAATAGGACAAATATGTTCCTAGTGAGCCGTGGGGTGGCTCTACGCCTGGAGCCAGTGTGTGAGGAAATCTTGTCTCTTCCTCAGAGAAGGTAGTTTAGAAAGAAGCCCTTTTCTTGCCCTGACAGAGCTGATGTATAGGGGTCAGTGCCTGGCTTGTGAAGCTGTACTCTTTTCTTCTGGCTGGGTGCTTTTGGGAGGGCACAAGCGCTGTCTCACAGCCCCTCGCTGCTGCCTCAGGACAAGAGCATCATTGTGGGCATACCATGTACAGCAGTCCTTCAGGGGAAATGTTGTACCATGCCTGATAGTTCCTTTCCCCACACTTAGGAGAAGGAAATGTGTCTGCTTTCCGGAGTCCTCCTTTGCACAGCAATGCAGCCACCTCCCCACAGGCTTTTGTTCCTCAGAAAACTACACTGCTGCCCTCTGTCTGTCTGTCTGTCCATCCTATGCCTCTGGGGATGGCTTTTCCAAAGGGAGAAGGAATTCAGCTGCTTTACTGAGTTACACGTAGCCATTTTCCCCTCCAATATTTGCTATAAGCATGGTGATACACAGGGTTCCTGTAAGGTGCTGTCTCTCTCTCCCCCATGCAGACAGCATCTCCAGATCCAGAGACGGGACTTCTTTTTGAGTCCCACACGTAATCCTTTCCTTACGCTGGGCTGTACAGCAGCTACACAATGGTAGAAGTGCCAAATTTTAATACAAATAAGTTGCCTAGCTTAAAAGCTATTTCACGGCAAGAGAAAGACCTTCCACGGTGCTAGTTTGGGGTTTCACTGTTGGGTTTTTTCCAGTTTTCCTCATGTGCTGTGATGGCTTACCAGCACCTCCAGCTTTGTAACTTAACACTTCCCCCCCAGCCTGGCTCTGAAATCCTTGCTGCAATCACTCTGCCGTACTCCTCAGCATCTTGTTCCCCCTAGATTTCAGCTGAGAAACAAAAATAAAGCCATTGCTGCTTGGTTTGTGCAGGCATGCTGATACGTCAGTGGATTTCTCCATAGGTAGAATTAGCTCTTTTCCGAAGCTGTAAAGAAAATACTCTGAAGCCTCATTACAGAAAGGTCAGATAAATAAAACCAGAGGATTACTTGTGTGTGGGAAAGTATTTTATTGGAGTCTAGAGGCCAATTAGCAGCATCTCAGAGGGTGGAATTTGCCTGGAGGGAAAGGAAGAAATCTGTGGATGTCAAGGTCTGAGCTCCCAGGGGGATGCTCACAGGCAGTGTGGAGTCTGGCTGTCCTCTTCCTACCCCCTGCTGCCCCATTAACTGCTCTTCTGTCCCTCCACAGGTGGAGTGACTGCCTTCCACACCTTCCTGAAGACGGAGTTCAGCGAGGAGAACCTTGACTTCTGGCTGGCATGCGAGGACTTCAAAAAGACCCGATCGAAAACCAAACTGGCTTCCAAGGCCAACAGGATCTTTGAGGAGTTTGTTCAAAATGAGGCACCCAGGGAGGTGAGGGCATTTCCTGCCTTTGCTCTGTGGCATCAAATAGAGTGGGAAAGGAATGAAATATCCTGGTGGGTTTTGTTAAAGTGCTCTCTTTTCAGTGGGAATATGTGCTTACATTCATGAGAGCTTTTGTTTTTAATATCATGTAGTCTACCAATGTGAAAGGATACAAAAGCTTGGGAGCACCTTCACCCTCATCTGAGGATGGAGAAAACAGTTTTTGTCCCCCCATGGGAGGGAAATTAACACCGAGTTAATATTTGTGGACACTGCTTCTTTGCAGGTCAATATTGACCATGAAACCAGAGAGATCACCCGCAAGAACCTCTCAGGTGCCACCTCCGCTTGCTTTAACGAAGCCCAGGCTAAGACCCGCACTTTGATGGAGAAGGACTCCTACCCCCGATTCCTGAAGTCCGCCTCTTACCAGGACATGACCAAGCAGGCCACCAGCCGTGGCATCAGCAAGCGGTCACATACCTGACCCGTGCCCAAATTTGCCGTGGGGGGACAAGCTGGGGGACCAGGCAGAGACTGAGAGACAGTTTGTGAGGGCTGAGGTCTGTGCAGTGGTGTTTTGGCTGAAGTCCTGTCAATTTAGCAGGAACCCCAAGACCTCAAGCGCTCTCTGCTTCCCACTGAACTCCTGGGAAAACTGGTCCTCCCTCCCTGAAGCAGCAGAGTGGGTGGGAACCCCATGTCCCTGCTTGCAGCATGGCTGGAGACTGGCACCACCACAGGATCAGACAGAAATCAGATTTGAGTTGCAAGCCCAGGAAAAGGACATGGGATTCCCTGTAGCATCTGTAACCAGCGAGCTCCCACCTTTTCTCAGCACCCTGATTCTGATCTGCAGCACCAGCTGCTGGCTGCAGGGCCAGCACAGAAGCCTGCAGCTCTTGCAGTGCTCGGGACAACCACCCCAGACCTGCTCACAGGGCTCACCCTGTGAGGGAAGGGCCAGAATAAAAATCCAAAGACTACATGGCATTTTCAGCTGGAGGGAGCCCTTCTCCTGATCCTGGGATCCTTCTGCCGTTTCCTATGCATGCTCTGCATCAAAGCTTTACACCTTCTTCCATACAGCATATCCCTAGCGGTGATGTTTTAATCCTTCGCTTAAGCTGTGTGACCTTTAGGTTGCACAAATCTTAGGTCACATGCAGAAGTTTTTACTACTATTATTGTTATTTATTTTATCATTATTATTATATATATATATTTGTTAGAAGAGCACTGCTGAAAGCATACATGTCCCTTGCTCTGAGGAGTTTCTAAATGAAATTATATTAGATATTGTAGTACTTAGCATGTCTCTCATTACTTCTGTATAATAACTTAAGATTGATGACCAGACAGATATGTAACATGACCGTGGAACTAGGGACACAAACAGCAGCAGCAAGAGTTGCAGTCCAGCGAGGCTGCTAGAGGAGTCTAAGGTGGCAGGTATCCTGTGAGTATGAAGGACAACTGATGGCAGTAAAAGGATGCTTTGCAATCAGTGTTGTTTCCTTTCTCCTCTCAGCTTGTCCTGGACAGATTAGCAATGTAAAACAGGCACTTTGGTGAGTGATCCTACTGAAAACTTATATTTTTATTTTTTTTTACACATTTTTCCCCTGGTTTAAAATTCAGCTTGGTGTTCCCTTGCCAGTGAAACCATTCTGCAGCCACAGCACTTTACCAGAAACCCAGGGAGCCAAGTGAAACAGCAATGCATGCTGTGAATTTAGTGTCTCAGGGCACTGCAGGATATTTTAGCAGCTCAGACTTGTGGGGTGAGCTTTTCAGAAAGCCCTTCTAAGCAGGGATTTCTGGGTTCTGCAGCTGCTCTGGAAAGCTGTTGATCCCATTTGCCAGCAATGGTGCCAGAAAGAGACTTGGGTGGGTGATGGGGAGCTCACCAGTATCCCATGCTGGGTCATGAGGAACATGCTACCAGCATAGTTTCAAACTGAGACAGCCTGGGGCTGCCACATGTGCCTCCATTTATCTTTAAAGACCAAACCTGGAGGCCCTTATCTTGCTGGTACTCACTACTTGCCAAGGAAACCATCTTTCACCCACCCCTTCAAACTTTCGCTGGAGCACAGGATAACTCTGGCTTTTCACAGCTGTTTGAGCAGAGCAAGGGACGGAGGACCAGTTTGGGATGTTATTCTGAGTCCTTTTCCACTTTCCCCATTCTGGTTCTACCTCTGAGCTTCAGTGGGTCCTGACTGGGTTTACAGGGAGTTTTTAGCTGCTTTCTTATTTATTATTTATTTTTACAACTGGAACCAGCTTTGTTGTGTTACTGAAATGAAAGACGCACAATGGTCCATTTTCATTACTGACATAATATTGTCATTATAAAATAAAATATAAAAAGGAAAATACTGTGACAACACACTTTATTTTATTTGGTAGTAGGTTTTCAATTAATTTTTACATTGTAATTTTGGATGACTTGCAAAGAATGCTAAGGAAAGCTGATTGTGTTGGATGGCTCAAGGTGCATTCACAGTCGCTTTAGAAGTTGCAGTGTCAGGAACAGGAAAGAAAGGGGAAGACTTGTGAAGAGTAAAGCTTCAAGGTATTTGGCTTACTTAAGAGAACTGAACAGCTCACAGCAAGAATGGAAGCAGAGATTAAGTTTTTAGTATATTAATCGCTAGGGTGTTCAGTACTGTTCGTTTTGCTCACCATTTTCTGAGCACTTTACAGGACTGCAGATCCTAATACCTATTTAGTATCAGTAAGACACCATTGTCTGAAAAGCATAGGAGGATTCAAATGAGGGCTGCTATCTGCAAAAACTGCTTTTGGGTCAGTGTCATAAATAATATTTGATTTTTATCAATAACTCAGCTGATGACTGAATTCATTTACAAGGGACAAAGTATCTGGTATTGAAGTGGTTATTAGAAGACATCTTACCTCTATTGCAGTGCTGCTCCTGAGGTCTGAGCAGTCCCCTGTGTCCCTATGGGAGCTTTAGGGAGGGGAGAGGGGTGCATGGTATGCGGAACTCCAGGGACTGCGGGATCACTGCAGGGCTTCCTGTGGCAAGAGCATTGCAGAGAGGGGAGCATTCAAGTGTGGCTCAGAGATGCTAATGCTCTGAATAAAAACAGAACATATTTTTATGTTATCTTCTTATTGTGTGTTTTGAAAGCCAGCATTAACTAGCCTGTGTCAGTGGAGGAGGAGAGTGGGAAGAGCTAGCATCACAGGTGTCTGTAATTCAGGAGCACTTAGGTCACAAGGTATGACTGCTAGCACAAGCCAGCCTCTGCCATTAAAAAGCCATTTTACAAGCAACTGCATCTATAATGAAGCCTTATGTCTCTTCTAATGCAGCCATGCAGAGTCCAAGGTTCATCATTCACTGTAAGATACAGTGTCTCATCTCCATCCCCATTCCCTGTAGTTGTCATCCACCCAACTGGAGGAAGGCAGTATAAACTTTCTCTTACCCTTTATTCACTATTCATTAGACATGGCCCTGTCTTACAAGACAGGTGATTTGTAATTGCAGCAGTCTGTATGTATACCTGATCTTAGTGCCTGTCAGAGGAAAGAAATAAGATGAAAGGTGTCCAGGAAGCATTTAATTTATCTGGCAAGAAACACTTAGAGTAGTAAAACAATCTAGAAGCATCTAGAAAGAAAAAATAGTGGTTTGGTTGGTTTTTTTTCTAAATGCAGCTGCTAGCTGAAAAAAATGAATATTTTGTCTTGCATATCTTGAAGCTCATTTAAAGCCAGTTCTCAACTGAAAAAATATTTAAGTTGACCAACAAAAAAAAAAAAAAGAAAAAAAAAAAGAAAAAATCAGAATTAAAATATTTTGAGCTTTCTTTAGATGGAAATCTGGGGTTATGTCCATTCTTGATGCTCCATGCATAGAGATGGATGGCCCAGGCCAAGTCTCAACCTTGGCGGCAGCACTCAGACTTCACAGGTGCTACTGGAGTATTCCATTTGCAGCACAGTTTCACGTCTGCAAGTCTGAGATGCTTCCCAAAGAGAAAACTCAGCCAATAAAACCATGCTTGCATCTGGCATATCCTCCGTGATTGCTGGCAAAACCCGTTCGTAATACAACAAAACCTTTAAAGCTTTGGGGGGATAAAAAACCCCAACTCACAAAATCTCATTGAAAAAGAGGAGCTGAAGCTTCCCATGACTTCCTTTGGGCACAGCTGGCTGCGGTTGCTTCCAATAAACCACGGCTGAAGTTTCCCAGGGTGGAGGCTGCAAATTTGGAAGCAGCAGAGATCTGAGCTCCAGAGAGCAAATGTGGGGGCTGGGGCTGCCTCCCCCAGGCATGACACATACTTGCTCCAGGGCCAGGTTTCCATGAGCTAGGCGGGGGGGTGGATTTATTTGGTGGAAAAAACCACACGTTTCCCTCTGCCCTGGGACCCAGTGTGTTCCCAGTAGCAGCTTGGTGAGGTGACACTGTCCCTCAGGCATCCTGTCTCCTCCTATGGCCAGGGTCACTACTCAGGCAGGACTGAGCAGCCTTTGGTGTGGCCTTAGGGCATATGCATAAGTGCAAGAGTGGCCCCATGAAGAGAAGCATTTGAGCAGGTGTATGGATGCTGAACTTTTGGTGTGCATGCACAGCAATGGGTACACATGTATAACAATACACATGCAGGCAAATTTTAAATACAATCAATATTCAAATAAATGCTCTCAAATGTCATTTAAATATATTTTTGAAGGAAGCTTGCCAGCAAATGGGATGCACTGAGCTATTTCAAATACCACAAACACCTTATCCAGTGGTCTGCAGTGCTCAGCGGCCTCTGTGCCAGCTGGCAGGAAGGGAGCAGCTGTATCACACTGCTTCCCACTTCACAGCTCTCGCTTCAAGGCCTTAGCCTGAATAAAGTGTAGAAATCATGTGTGATGTGTTTCCATACGGCTCACCCTCCCTCCCAGTACACATGCAGCAAAATGTCAAGGTTACCAATCAGGCTCAGCTGTATGCAGGGATTCTTATCCACACAGTGCTTTGGGAACTGAGAAAAGATTGATAATACTTATGCTTTCTGCCAGTGCTGGGGTGCTGAGGGCAGTGCTGGGCTCTGCAGCCCTCCTGCCTCCCTAGGGCTGGGCTGCCTGTGCTGGAGGCTGCTCTGATACAGTGCAGCTGCAACCTGGTCTCAGCCTGTGGGGAGAAGCAGGGGATGAGCAACAGCTGGGAGCAATGCTGCTGTAGAGCCACCTCTGCTGTTTAGGAAATGCATTTAAGCTCAGGTCCTCAGCCTGGTTCCTTGTTTGACCTATTCTGGCTGATCTGGGATGTTTCTGATGGACCCCTGTCTGCTCTTCTTGCTCAGGTACTGGTACACAGTGCCCTACATGGTAAGGTCCTAACCTCTTCTTCCCAGCCCACTCCTCCTGGTCTTTTTTATTTGTGGTGATGAGGACTGAATAGCAGTCTAAAAAACCTAGCAAATGCAGATTAAAACTGTAAAAATACTCCATGGTAAAGTGAAATGTGTTTGATGCTCCTGTGTGGACCACATCACCTGTCAGTGTTTAAATTGCATCTCTCTGTGGACTATTTTTCAGGGCTGTGTTCCAGCACTGGAAGTCACATCAGTGTGGCCAAGCATATAAACCCTGGGACATTCCCTTTTGGAAATAAAGTAAGAAAGCAAGTACAGGGAGCATGAATTAAAAAGCCATGCTACTATTCCTAGATACTTTAAAAATGATTTTGACTTTGGCAGGCAGTTTTTGTGGCTGTGTTTTACCTCATGTTTAATTGTAGCTGTTGGTCAGGGCACTGATGCTCAGAGATATTATCTCTGGGAAAAGGTTGCAAAATGGGTGTAGGTCCATCAGGATGAAGGAAAAAAAATGCTTAATTGCACTCCTGATGTCGCTGATGACTGTGTTTCAGCAGCTTCGCTTCTGGCTCCCTGTGAATGGGGTGGTAAATAAGGACTCTGCAGAAGGGCAAATACAGCAGGATCTACACAGCCCAGAGACTACTGGAACCATTGTAGAGAGGAGCTCTGTGACTCCTGTGCTCTGGAAACCCTCTGAGGCCCTTCTGTTCCCCGTAAGTTGTCTGTCACAGGGACAAAGAGTTTAAACTGATGACTCTGTGGAAAGCAATTTGGATCAGGCATGAGAGAGAGGGAAAGCGCTGCCACCAAATCCTTCTTTGCTGTGGTACAGGCACAGGACACTTCTGTCTGTTGCAAAAACCTTGTTCCTAGAATCCTAGAGTTTGGGTTCCTACCATCCTAGGGTTTCTTATCTTCCCACCATAATGACCTACTTAAACTAAATCAGCAAGCTGAAGAAGGCTTTTGTACTTTTGTGGCTGGGTGACATCTTATTGTTGTGTATCATAACGCTGTGGGTTTGGGGTTTTTTTTACAACTTTATTGTTGGCTCTGAACCTGTGATGTGCCCCTGCTCTGCTGGTTTATCTCTTTTACAGCCTGTGGAGAGTGGTGGATGATTAAACACTGGCAGCCTAAGCCCCAGCTCTGGTTGAACCGGGAGAGATGCTATTGAGTTCAGCAAATTTCTGTGAATTAAAATGGCAGCCTGACAGCCTTGAGAGTGATTTGAGATTGTTCCCTGAGTTTTCATGGTCTTTGTCCCTGTGCGGCTGTGTCAAGGTCTCCTGTAGTAATACGAACCTTAAGAAGTTCCATCCAGAAGCTGTGGGATATTCCTAGACCTTGCTGATGCTCTGCATGCTGTGGAAAGCAGGTTATACAATATGATGGTTAGGTACAAAGACTATGTGACTCATGCATAGGTAGAGCTTTTGTGAAAGCTGGCATGCAGATGTGAGCAAGCAATGTAGGTGTACATGAAGATTAGGATATGCTTATAAAACTTGCATCCCTGTACCCTTTTAGGGTATGTTTCCGCATTCATGCCCTTGTGCTTGTATCCATCCATCTCTCTGTGTACATATGTGGATACCAGTTTGTGCATGCACTAATATTGTCCAAAAAGCAGATTCACGCCCAGTGTGCAGTAGAACAATTCCACACTCTTGGAAGTGATACCGAGGTGATTCAGGCTGGGGTGCTTGGTGGACTGTTACACAAATCAAGTCCATGAATGCAGACCCTCTTTGTTACATTTATACACAAATGTTACAAGGTAGTACACTCCCAGTTACAGTGATTGGTTGTAATCTACATATAATCATAATATCTGCTGTGTCATTCCTTCTAATCACCACCTATGCTCAGAGGAGGGGGTCTTAAACTGGCCCAGGGTCTTTTTGACCTTTGTTGTGATTTTAAGTATTATAATGAAGGTAGCTCACTTTAGGACAGCTTAGAAGTTAGCTCTTTTGCCAAGTTAGGTAACCAAATGGTCACTTTGCCAAGCTGCCAGATAACTCATCCTTTAGTGCTTTGATTGTTCTCCTTTGTTCCTTCAAACACAACCAATATCATCAGTGTTATCATGAAAAGCCAGGCATGAATTCATTGGTGTGATTTCAGCCCTGTTTCAAGTGTGGTATGAAGCTTGCAGCTGGCACAGTTGGGTGGAGGAGGCTGCATGAGCTCTGCATGCTGGTGAACTTATTTCACATTAGAAGTCAGTGGGCGAAAGTGGGTGGCATGTCACAGCCTGGGCTCTGTTATGTGTTTCCTGCACAGGCTTTGCATGCAGGGCTGGAAGGCTGGACTTCCTCAGGCAGTACTGTGCTTACGCAGAGCTGCCTACAAGAAGGACAGTGCCTGGGCAGCAGGGAACTGCCTACTTGCCAGTGTGGGTACGGTTGGAACGCATCAGCTGAGTTATAAATGGACCTGGAGCTCAGTGGTTCCCTGGATGAAATTTAGCAGCATGGCAAGTTCCCTCATGTGGATGGATTTACCAAAAGATGAGGAAATGCTTAAAATATAAACCCCAACCCAATTTCCTGCACCCCAAAGAAAACCCCAAAACTCCTGCTCCAGGAGGGATAGGGCAGAGAATCAAAAGAATGTAAATCCCACTGGTTGAGATAAGAACAGCCCAATAACTAAAGTATAATACAAAACTACTACTACTGCTACCACTAATAACGATAAGGGAATTAACAAGAGGACAGAATATAAAAGGGGAAAACAAACACGAGGGATGCACAATACAACTGCTCACCACTTGCTGCCAACTGATACCCAGCCCAACCTGAGCAGTGATCTGGGCTTTCCGGGTAACTCCCTCCAGTTTATGTATTGGGCATGATATGCTGTGGTATGGAATACCCCTTTGGCTAGTTTGGGTCAGGTGTCCTGTCTCTTCTTCCTCCCAGCTCCTTGTGCCCCTCACTCTCACAGCATTAAGGACTCAAAAGTCCTTAATAGGGGTAAACATTACTTAGCAACAACTAAAATGCTGGTGTGCTGTCAGCACTGTTCTCAGAGCAAAGCAGAAAACACAGCACTGCACCAGCTGCAGAGAAGGAGAAAAATGACTGTTACAGCTGAACCCAGGACACCTTCCCTCCCCCAGAACTGTCTCATTTAATGTCTGAACCTTCAGCTCCTGAACCACTGCCGAGCATACATTTGTCAACAGGATCTATGTGTGTGGGACTGTTCCTGGAGAGCATTTGCTCATGACCACTCTGCTGTGTGTTGAAAATTGTTGGTAAACACCCTTCAAAACTGCAGCACCCCCTTGTAAGTGGATAAAATACTCCCTGCTGGGGGAAGGGACAGCATATACTTACAGACTTTGCTGGGAAGCAAATACTATCTGGAGATAACTGCTACGAAACAGCAGTGAACAGCGGCTGCTGAGGAAATCTGCTCCTTAGCTTTGCAGGCATTTTAAGCAATGTCTGGGGTTCCGTTTGGCCAGAATGCTTTTCTCACCTTCCCGTGGTGGGTGGTGGCGTGTGATGCTAGGCAGCATTGTGCGACCCTGCATGTCAGCTGGTGCCCGTGGTGCACAGACGCAAACAGCTCCTGGCCAAAAGTCAGTGGGGCGGGATAGAAACGTTTAAACGCTTCCTAGCATAGTGCGTGCTGTGGCTCTGCGGCTCGGCAGAGAGGGAAAGCGCGCAGCTCCTGCCTTCCGCATGCCCAGGCGCCTGACTTCCCAAAAGAAGCAAGGAGTTGGAACCCCGCTGTGCCCAGGGGATGTTGTGCTGTTTTTCCAGCCAGGAAAGTAACCTTTATTTTTTCTGTTTTTTGTATGTGGCAAAAGGCATAGAAGTTACTTCATGGAAATGAAATTCATCTACATCAATTAAATAGGGTATTTATTTCCCGCTGGCCTTGGCTTTCCTGAGGGTTAATCCTTGTGAATTTATACATTGCTTTAAAACTTTGGACTTCTCTGTCCCTTTTTTGATCAGCTTAGATAATTTATTTCCAGCTCAACTTGTCAAACAGTGACTCCTGGAAGTGCTGATCACTTGGACCAGCCTTTGCAGTCAGGAGAATGGGTATTGGAGTTCCAGCTCTTCTAGGTACTAGATAGATAGAAAAAAATCAGGTTCTAGCTGACTAACCTCTTAATGTCATGAAAAGCTTAGGAAGGCCTTCTACTCAGGTAGGGTCTCCTAATTGCCTACGGAAGCAGGGGGGATTAATGCTGGCTTTCTGTCTCATTCCAGGTATCAGACTGGGGACTCTCCAGGACTCTGTGTGTGTCTGCCATCCAAAACTGAAGGGGAATGCCCGTCTCTGCCTGTCTGCTGCGTTTTCCACCTTAAAACATCGCTGAGGGATGACTTCTTAGGTAACCTGTAATAAGTCTGAAATAGCATTTATAACAACAAAACAGTGGGTTCTCCCCCATCCCTTCACCCAGGCATCCCGAGGGATGTCTGCTTGGGGTGTAATTAATGCTGAGACCAGGCAAGAAAACTTGATGATTACTTATGTCTGGGTTAGTGCTAAAGTGGTGATTCTCAGCAAGACATAGCTGTCTTGGCTGGCACTTAGCATTGCTGTTCTTAGTTGCTTCTCACATAGACCTTCAAGACATCAAACGTAAATGTGAGATTTCACAGTCTAATAAACTTTTCTGTTTACTAATTAGTTTGAGTCCACGAAGCCCTTGAAATAGCAGCCTATCCTATGCAGTATGCTTCAGCCAGACACAGAGCATCCACCACGATGAAAGTGCTGAGCACTGAACCAGTCCCATCCTTCAGTGGGATGCCTGGGCTCAGGTGATGAACGTCAGAGGTACAGAGCCGTCCCTCTGACCACCGTAGAGCCTACAGCTCACAGCCAGCAGGAGGCATCGATCCCTTCCAGCAGAAGACCTTGCCTTCAGGTTAAATGCTGCTGTGAGGGACAGTAATAAAAAAGATGTGCTGGAGCTGCTGGAGAAAGGGGCAGATGTGAACTCCAAAGTACAAAGTGGCTGGACACCACTGCAGAGTGCCGTGCAAGCTAATGAACAGGACCTGGTCTGGCTTCTGCTGTGCAAGGGTGCTTGTCCACATGCCAGGAAGGACAATGGCAGCACTTGCATTTACTGAGGGAGCAATAGTAGGAAATGTGAATATACTGGAGCTACTCCTTGATCGTGGGTTAAATATTAATGACGATGGTGACAATGGCTTTACAGCTTTCATGGAGGCTGTATGGTATGGGAAGGAAGAAGCTTTGAAATTCCTGTATAGCAAAGGAGCAAATGTGAATTTGAGAAGGGTAGTTAGTGAAGAGAAAGTGCATAAAGGAGTGACAGCACTGACGCATGCTTGTAGGAACGGCCACTTCTCAGTTGTAAAAACTCTTGTCCAAGAAATGGGGGCTGACATGAACATTTGTGACAACAAAGATAGGAATGCCTTCATCCATGCCCTCAAGGAGGTTTGTGCCAAGGAAAGATAAGAGTCAGGAATCTCCATTGGCCATTTCCTGCTCACCATGGTGTTGATGTGAACAGCAAAGATGAATGTGGGAAAACTGCCCTCATCCTAGCTGTTGAAATGCAGAACCCAGATTTGGTGAAAGCCTTACTGAAGAAAGGTGAAATAGATATGGATGATGCAGATGAGGAGGGCAACACAGCACTGATGGTGGCTGTAGCGAAAAATGGTTACAATATAGCAGAGTTGCTGTGTGAAAAAGGAGCAAGAACTGATACTTGGGACCTTACAGCTGTTGCAAATAGAAGCTGTGCTCCTAACGTGGCGCGTTCTCTTCACCAGTATAATGCCAACTTTGTTCCACAAGCCTTCAAAGACTGGGAGCCAAAGAGCAAATGCTGGAGGGATCAGCTGAAAAAGCTATATAAAATATATATGGCAAACTGAAGACATTTCAATATATCCAGCAGAGAATTCAGAACACTTCTCAAGGTGGCATCTACCTTGGGATCCGTAGTGGGACAGAGGTGGCAGTAAGAATAAGCTGCAGTACAGAGGGTGACAAAGAGAAAAGGTTAAGTGAACAATGTAATAACTGTGAACATCTACTGAAGGTCTTCCAGTTTGAGAAAGCAAAAGGCTATGTGTACTTATGCTTCCCCCTCTGGGAGAAAAAATCTTGAACAACATCTGCAGGAACCAGAAGGCCAAATGGATTGCAGGTGCTCTGAGGATGGTCTTCCTGGCAGTGAGAGAGCTGCACTCCCTTGGATTTGCTCGTCAGGATCTGCATCCCAGCAACTTTTGGTAGGTTATCCTTTGCTTTCTCAGCATTTTGATTTTGCTTTCTTGATGTCTGTAGTTTAGAGAAGATGTTTCATAGCTGTCTGTAAAGAAACAGATGTCTTTATGCAGAATTGGGTGTCTGTGGCATTAGATCTCCTCTTCGAGTGAGTATAGGTACGTTTCTGGATAGCCAAAGAATGAACAGAACTTTACAAGTCTCAATGGATCTCTCTTCCTTTCCAGACCTTTGCAGTCAGATTAACCCACATCAGATCTCTTCAGAGAACTGTTTTCTAAAGAAGGGGCCACCCAGAAGTCAGTGACAGACTGTTACATTTTCCACCATTAACATTTCCCCCATAAACTTTGTTTATTATTTCCTCAGATTTAGATGGCAAAATTTACCTTGTGGACTTCAATAATAAAAGGAAGTTGATTGAAGGTAAACAAGTTCTTGTAAACTCAGATTTAGAGGTAACTTCTCTGCAAATCAATGAATGGTTTAAAGTGTCAGGTATTCTCCAGTATTTTCTGTAGCTGGGAATCCTAGGGGGAAGCCTTTCTGCATCCTCAATTAGAAACCACTTTGATTTCTGGGAAAGCCCAAAGCACTGCCTCAGGATGATAGTGGCTAGCATGCAAGGCTATAGCTGGTGATGGGATATCCAGAGAACCCTGTGAACATGATTATGGCACATGTCTCCTCTGTCTTTGTGCATACAGCTTCCAAGTTTGTGTTTCCATGTATTTTCAGACTTATGCACATCTATAGGTGCATGTGCGTGTTCACATACACAGTTAGCTTATTTAGGAATAACAGTCCTTTTCCACTCGGTAAGAAGTTTCATGCATCTGGCATGTGAACAGTGATGTGTTTCTTTGCAGGCCCTCAGCAGTCTTGTGCTCTATGTTTTAACGGGGTTAGGAAGCCCCTTCAGCAAGTCAATGCTAAAGATTTAGTTGCTGATTCCCCAGATTACAAAGAGGCTCTGGATCTTGTAAGCAGCCTGGTGTCTCATGATGAATGAGGCTTGGAAGGTTTTAGCAAACATCTGTATTTCTGGAGCAAACAGATGTAAGTCCTGGGAGTGCAAAGGGAAAGTTTTTGGTAGGAATTTGCCTGTAGTGCTGGGAACAGCAATGTCCTGTTGAAGCTAATGAATCATCTAATTCCACAGCAGGTTCAATTTCCTGAAGAATATATGGAATAAAGTCAAAGATCTCCACAATCGGAAACCTGCCTTTCAAGCTCCTAATGTTACTGAAAGTTTTCCTTGTCCATGGTGGGCCAAGGAAGTAATCCTCTTCTCTTTGAATCAGTACAAGGTTTGAGTGAAACATTTAGGCAGAAGCTTTTCCTATTTAGGAAAAAGCACCATTTAAAACTTTAACTGGAAAAAAGTAGCTTCAAAAGTAGCAAATACAGATAACTGAGGGAAACAACTGAATTTAAGCGATGTAATAGGAGTACCCAAGACTAAAAGCATTGGTGGTAAAGGGAGCTCTGTTGACTGGGGTGTTAGTAGGGGATGCTCATGATAGAATTATCTGGCAACCTTCAAGGGTGTTTTTTGGTGACCTCTGGCCCTTGCTGCCAGCAAATTCTTGGCAAATATGTTTTGTTAGATTGGCTCAAAAGCAGTGAGACCAGGCTTCTTTTTGCAGGGAGCATCTTGGAAAGACATGCTGCACGTGTTTGAGAGATGACAGTCTTGGCTCAATACAGCAGCCCATGTGGTCCTTTCACCAGTGGCACAACTGGATCAAGACTTCCAAGTCTCCCCCTGCCCTAGAGGCATGCATGAAAAATCTCCTGTTCTATGTTGACATCCTAGATAGGAAACAGCAAAATCAGGGGGTCTGTGTGGTACCTGCCTTGCAGAGTGAACTCTTCTGCTCATGCTGGGGAATATGCTTTTAAGAGTCACAAGATTTGCTCATGCAAGATGATGTCTCTGCAGAAAGGCAGTAGGTGTGGTGAGTGGAGGTAGATGTGCTGCTTTTGTGGTGTGTGAAAGGCAGAGAATCATCTATGTGCTTTTTTTTTTTTTTTCAGGTTAACAAAGATGTTCTGAACATCATGGAAAATCCCAAGAAAGGAAGATCATTCAAATATAGCAACAACGTCACTGACCTACTGAGGTTCATCAGAAACCTGAATGAACATCCAGATATCAGGTACACGTTCACATCCTTGCCCCTGCCACAGCTGCATTGCAGGGAGCATCTGGGTATCTGGAAATGTCAGGGAGTTTGAGGAAAAATATCTTCAGATGGTTTTCCAGAAGGGAGAACACAACTGGGATGTGGGAGAAAGTCCATTAGAGCTCATATCATTAGAGGGGTCATCTCTTCTGGCAGCAAAATAGTGTGTGAAAGATCGTGTGTCATGGCTGCAAGCCATCTGGAGTCAGTCCTAGGTATCACCTTCCAGAGGGTAAGAAAAGGAACTTAGATCATCTCCCACAGATGACCATCCTCAACCAGAGCCTTCTGTTCCAGAGGATGGCAGCAGCTTCAGAGAGTTGATGGCATTCCCTCTGCATCTTAGCCCTTGCAGAGCAGGCTGTGGGGTGGAGAGGTGTCCATGACAACTAAGGCAGGTCATGGCTCTGCAGCAGAGGACAGCATGAATGTGTCTTCTCGGCTGTTATTTTTGCTGCAGAATGGTGTTTCTTGCCATAACTCCGGAAGGGTTTTTAGATCCCTCTTAAATATTAGTATTTTCCTTTATACTTGTGAAAAGCCTTCTTATCTACCTTTCTAGTATTTCCAAAGTGCTGATGTTTATTGTGCTGAAGTGCATTGAGATATGGATCATGTAACAGCACAGGTCCTGTTAGAAGATCCTGTTAGGAGGTCTTGACTCCTAAAAAGCTGCTAATCTCTAACCCCCTATAGTCATGGGTGCTTAAGCGTGAGGTTAGAGGTGGAGTTTGCTCCTAGTGATGGTTTCACTGAGGCTGGTAGCCAGCACTGCTCTTCAGTGAAGATGCAGGTAGGATTAGGCAGATAGAGGTGATGGAGAAATAGTGAAAAAAATTAATTTAATAGCTCAGGGAAGGTATAGAAAAGTTTCAGCTCAAGTATTTATAGGAAACCTTCCTGTGTTATCAGAAAGCCTCTGGAATGTTTTGGGGTTTTGGGTTGGTGGGTTTTTTTACGGGGGGGGACACATCGTTGGTGTTTTTGTTTCTGTTTTTGTTTTCTCTGCAAGGGAGGAACCAGGGTATCCTGGATATTTGAGTCTTTAGGCAAGCCTTAAAAACCTGGTTTGGGCTTGTTCTTTCAGGATCAGCAACAAAATAGCAAACCATGCTGAATACTTCTTGAAGCTTTTTCCAGCACTTACCATTTATGTGTACAACAGTTTGTGCCAGAATCCTGAATATAGTCACTTTGCAGGCATTCAGTACTCTTTTCTGTAGGATGTCATTGCCTCCTGTCCCATGTCCAGTCCCACCATCACTGCCTCATTTTATGCCCTATTTCTTCGTCTGCAAAAGAGTTGAAGAAAGTGGGTAAGGAGATGGGAGAGAGTAGATGCAGGGACAGAGTGTGGAGGACTTAAGCTGAGAAACTGAAGATGCTTTTAAGTGTTTGGTGTAACAGGTTTTGGAGAGGAACCAAGTTGAGTGAACTCAGGTCTGCCTTGACTACTCTATCTGGCCTTATCTGCATCTGTAAGGTACAGATCAAGGCTCTGATCCTTATGGAGAGCAGGGAGATGTGGGACAGTCCCCATAAACCTGATATGTCTGGGAGGCAAGAGAAGAGCTCAGGCATTGCCAGATGACATTGGACTCTGCTAAAGGAAAAAGAGTTCAAGCTCCTTGCTAGGGCAAATACTCCCTACAGCTTGTACTAATGAGCTGCTCATCTAACCCTAGAAAGACAAGAATCCTCTTTTCAGTCTTTCTGAAACACAGCAGCCAGAAAATAAGATGCCTAGGCAATGACTCATTATTCATCTGATCGTTAAAGGCACACTCAGGCCAGCCTGCTGGGACCTGAAGGACTTCTTTTGAGGAGCACAGGAGATGTTTCCACAAGGAAGGGGTGCAAGGAGCACAATTCCACGAAACTGCTACTGTTCCTGACTCAGCTGAAGAAGGTCACTGACATCAAAGGGACTGCAGGAACTGGCTCCTCCTGGAAATGACAAGGTCTGTTGTGGCAGGCTGCATCTGCAAGGCTTCAGCACTTCCTGTCTCCAAACCAGTGCCACTGTTGGGGTATTAATGTCCTGCCAGATGTGGCTCAGTTGCACAGCACTGGTGCCCATACAGCTGCAGCATGCAGCCAGCTCAGAGTGGAGGCTTGTAGCACAAACCCATTTCTGAAATCCTACAGCATGCAATGTTTGTCTGATTGTCCAAGGGCTTGCTTGTTTCTCCACTAATGCTCTGGTTTGCACAATGATTACATGTTGCGTATGGAAATATTTCTCAGCTGTTGAAAAGATTTTTAATTTTTTTCAAACTGAGATTGTTATTCTTTCAATTAGCCTGTGGAGACCCAAACTTGGAATAAACTTGCCTGGAAAACTGACCGTACACTCATTTATGCATGAGGTTCCTGCATCCTCTCTGCACAGAAAGAGATAGTCTGCAGCACTGTAAAATGCTCAAAAGGCTGGGATTTTTGGCCTCCCTGTGGAGGTGCCTTTTGGTTGCTTAGGTAAGGTGGTGGATGGTTTTGTCACTGTTCAGATGAATTCCTTCTGGCCTATATGGGTATTTGATGGGAAAAGATGATGGGAAGTACTGAAGGCTTCCTGTCCTCAGAAGCAAGCTGTCTCTTGTGAAATAACAGGCTGAATGGTGGGGGGTTTTGCATTGTTTTTGTGGAGTGAGGGTGAGGATTTCATGGATGAGTTGAGGTGTGAAGATTAGCATCAATGCTTGCATATATGTGTTTGCATACATGTAAAAGTCTGGGAGTGGATGTGTTTAATCCATCTCTACAAATGAATGGGTGTCCAGAATGTATCGAGCCTACACATCTGGTTTAGCTGTGTATGATTATAGATATATTTACCTGCAAACTAGGAGGCATTGCTGTGCATGAATTGGGTTGCAGACTGCCATACATATGCTCATGGCTGGTAAGGTCCATGTGCCAGCCTGCATCAGTGGTCCTGGCTCAGAGCAAAAGGTCCTTCTGATGGGTCTTGGGAACCTTGTCAAAAATATGTGAATGTAACAAGAAAGCTTGACTGTGCCACTGATGAGATGCTAATAGAGGAAATGCAACCAGGAGTACTGACTCCTCTTATGTCAATATTTTTTTCTTTTCCATTCCTTCTTGCTCATTTTTTCTTGCTCATTGTCTCTTCTCATGGTCAGAAAGCAGGAGGACACAGGGAGGTATATGTCCAGGCCTCAGCAGCATTGGGAGCAGGGATAACATATGGAGCACCATGTCACCATGCAAATGTGGCTCAATGCCACAGCAGCATGTTTCTGCTCTTGCATAAGGAGAGGTGAGGCAATGGGCTGGGCTCCTTCAGCCTGCTGTAAAGCACCACATTCCTGGCTTGCTTTGACCTTTGCGTGTTCTTGCATTGCTCCTGCTGTTTTGCTAAAGGGCTGTGACTTGGCAGCTTTAAAAGGCTGTGGAAAAGCCTTCCTGAAAGTGGAGACCTCTCAAGGGTGTCCAAACCAGAGCAATGATCAAACCCGTGGAGGCTGTGACCCGTCTCTCTGGGGAAATCAGGCTGCTGGGAAGAATGTCCAGGAAAGGCTTGTGTGGTCTGCAGGGCTGTGTCTTGCTTTCCGAGAAGCCAGAGGTGTGCTGGGAGGCTGCTGTCAGAGGGGAAACTTGATCCATGCATAGTATCTGCAAAGCTTGCTCACAGGGTGTCAGCCCGCATGAACAAGGGGGGCATGTGGGACTGGACCAATGCCAGGGAGAGCACCAAGCCATGGAAGGCTGCCTCTCCTCCTTGCAGGATCAGGGAGGATGGGTGAGTGCTCAGTCAGAGGCCAGGCAGGATGGAAATCCAGTGGCAAGGTCAGCTGGAAAGTATTGAAACTGGGTAGTAAGGCAGTGTCTGAGGGTGCAGCCTAGGGATAAAGGTGTCCTGGGGAGCTGGGGGTAGAGCCAGCTGCCACAGTTAATGCTGCTTGATGTGCTGATGGCTCCCAGCATCAGTGCCCACCTGGGAGGTGCTGCCTGCCTTTGCCTTTTACAGGCAGGCTTGCAGACTATGCTTGGTGCCTAAGGGCATGCTGATTTGGCCCTACATGCTTCATTCCCCTGCTGTCATGCCTGTGCATTGTCTATTTGCTGTGCCTCTGCCTTTTTCCTCTGCTCCTGCAGGCAGCTGGCTTAACCCCATGTGATGGGATCAGGTGCTCCCCATCCTGTCACTTTCGTGCTGAGGATATGCTTGTGCAGAGGCATGGTCCCAGGTCAATGTGATTCATGTGATACACTGGGAAAAAAATCCAGTCTGCAGATGCAGTGGAGTGAAGATCATTTTGGCTGTGGTTTTGCTGTGTTGAGCTCCAGGCACATCCATGAAGCCTTCTAGGGAGTGGGCTCAGCTGGGCTTAGGCTGCAGAGCCTGAAGTGTTAGTGAGAAGCACATAAAAATGCAGCTAGCTTTTGGGGATGAAGGTTTTTGGAGCAAAATCAAGTTACACCACAAGGGCAATTCTGAGGATCTGTTTAGGTTGTAATAGTGGCATCAGCTTCCTAAGTCCTTCATTTATAGAAATCTGCTTAGATTTGTTCAGGTTTTCTGATCCTCCAGAAGCAAAGTGTTGATAATCATAACTCACAAATATGAAACATGTCATTATCTGCCTTAAATACACCTGTGTTATTCCCAGGATGCAGTCTTCTAGGATCTAAGGGTTAAAAAGTGGCTAAAAATAGCTCAAAGTTACAAAGCTGGGAGCTTGCTAGGGAGCTGTCAGAGTCAAGGTGCAATAAAAATCATGGTCTTTTCTTCATGAGGTCCAAAGAACATTTGGGATTTCTGCAGCTTCCTGGTGACTAGGCAAAGCCACTCTGACTCAATTTCACCTGGGAAAATGGATATGATATGATTCTGTTAGTGCTTCGTAAACATACTAGCTGTTAAAAATAACATTCTGAGGCCTTGAGTCAGGCATGAGTTGATTTTGATTGGAAAATCAGAAAGGCTGTGGCAAGGCAGGCACCATCTCACCACTCAGGGACAGCTGAGTAGTAAGCCAGGTGGGCTCTCTTAGCATATCCACCCACAGGAGGTATTTAAGAGTGAAGAGCTGAGATGAGGTTGTGAGCCATGCATATCAGAGCAGAGCATCCCCAGTCTCCTGTGGGAAATGTGGCTCCTTGCATAGCAGGGCTGGAGCAGCTTCTAGGGGTGGGTGATCTTTGAGGAGCCCCTTTCTTAGGCAAAGTGTTTATTGTGACTGCTTTCTGGCTTTAAGCACCTTCCAGACTGGGAAAGACCTCAAAGGTGCTGGTGTGCTTGGGCTCGGTGTAATTTGTTTACACTGTTGGTGGGTCCTAGCTATGTGCAATGCAGTCTTTTACAGGTACATGTAAGGAAGGAGACTGTTGTGTGGGTAAGGGTATCAGCTCAGGTGGAAATACATGCTGTGGCATGTTCCTGATGTAGTTCCAGAGGTGCAAGCTGCTATGCTGTTACCAGGCAAGCTGGAGGATGCTGTGAATATTTTTAGGTCTTACTGCTGATTAAGTGCAAACTATGCAGTGTGATTGGGCTGTGCAGAGCTTTCTTGGAGCACACCCCTGTCCTGCTCAGTGTGCACACTATGTTGGGAGTTCTGTTCTTCCTTGGAGGTCTGTCCTTCCCCTGATGTCTGCCAGGGAAGGGAGAGATGTTGCATGAGTGGCCACGATGCAACTGCTGATGGAGGCAGGGTGCAGGTGATAAGAGATAAGCAACATGGCTGTGTGCTCCTGGGAAGGTGCTCAGGGTATGGAGAGATGCAGGAACTGGGCATTTTCTGTGATTGTTACTGGACATGGTGGGGGTGACCAGCATACTGCAGTGACCCACACAGTTGGCCTTTAGGTTTTAAGGGGTGTTGTGGCTCTGATGCTCCAGGTGCTTATACTGGTTTGGTCTCGGGGGAGGTAGACCGCTTCTGTGACCGCCTACCTGCTCTGAAGGTAGAGCCTTTTCTCAAGACTTTAATCTGAATCTGGGGAAAACAACACATACAAACTTCCTATCATGGACCAGTGCAGGAAGCCCTAAACCCCAGCTCTGGTCCTGGACAGCTGGAGCTCTACTTGAGAGCAGGAGCAGTCCTTTCAGCACCTTTTTGCTCCTTCTGTTGTTCCATTGTCATCTGGGGTTGTGGCAGCAGGATCTGGATGCCTTTTGTGAATGATAAGACAATGATGGCATGATTGCCTGGTGAGGGAGATGAGGCAGTACTGTGTGGCAAGTGCTCTGACAGCAAATCAGGGAGGACACCAGGATGCTTCTTTGAATCCTATGGAGCTTATACAAAGGTTAAAGAAGGGTAGCCGAGCAAGCACTGGCGTTACCCAAATCTTGACTGTGGAGCAGTCTGGGGGCTGCAGGGCAGGGGTGATATGTCCCACCCTGGCTCTGTTGCAGTGTTGGGGGGTCCTGGGTGGCAGATGAGAGGCTTGCGAG